TTTTAAAAAATTATTAAATAAAATCGTTTTAAATTTTAAATTAAAAATAATTTTTAATTTATTAAAAATTTTAATTAATATTTTTAATTACGAAATAATTAAAAAATAATATTAAAAAAAAACGAAAAAAATAATTAATTATATAATTATAAACGTTAAAATTTAATATAATAAAAAATATAAAAATATAAATTTTAAAATAAACGAAATAATATATTTATAATTATATAAAAAATATTAATTATTTAATATTAAAAATAAAAAATAAAAAATTTAAAAAACTAAACTTTTAATAATTATAAAAAAAATCGAAAATATAATATACGAATTAAATATTTTTAATAATTAAAAAATTTATAAAATCGTAAATATATTTTAATTATATAAAATTTCGTAAAATTAAAATTTTTATAAACGTTATATTTTTACGTTTAATTATATTATTATAAAAAAAACATTAATAAATAATAATCGTACGAAATAAAAAAATTATTATAATAATAAATTAATAAATAAAAAAATAAAATAATATTAAAATATTTAATTTATTAAAAAAAATTTTCGGTTATTTACGATTAATAATATATAAAAAAATTTTATCGTAAAATATTATAAAATTAATTTATAAATAAAATATAAAAAATTTTATAAATTTTAATAAAATAAAAATTATAAATTTATAAAAAATAATACGAAAAAACTTAATTAAATTAAAAAAAAATCCGATTTATTATTAAAATTACGATTATTTTAAACGTTAATAAATTTCGATTTTTTAAATTTTTATTTTTTTAAACGTTAAAATTTATATTTTTTTTATTATTATTTAAAAAAAATAATTTTATAATTTTATTATTTATTCGTAAAAAATTCGAACGAAAATTAATAAAACGTTAATATTTTTTATAAAAAACCGAAAAATTAATAAAATATAATAAATAATATAAAAAAAAACATTTTATATATAATTTAAAATATAATATAAAAATTTTTTTTTTATATTTTATTTTATTTTAAATTTTTTTTATTTAATAATTATTATTTATTTTTTTATATAAATAATTTTATATTTTTTTTAATATAAATTTTACGTTATTATATTAATTAATTATTTATTTATAAATTTTTAAAAAAAATTCGTTAAAATTTTTTATTTTAAATTTTTTTTTTTAATATTTATATTATTATATATATTTTTTATATTTATATTTATTTATAATTAATAATTTATTATAATAATATTTTATTTTTAAAATTTACGAAAATATATTTAAAAGTTTTACGATTTATAATTTATATTTTTATTATATAAAATTATTACGTTTTAATTTAATATATATAAAATTTTTTTTATTATTTTAATAATATTATATTTTAATAAAAAAATTTTTAATTACGTAATATAAATATATTATTAAATTTATATAATAAAATTAATTTAAAAAAAAATATAATTTAAAATATTTTAAACGTTATATAAATTAATATATTATAAAATATATTTTTTCGTTTAATATATTTTTTAAAATATTTAAGTTTTTAATTAATTTTAATTAATTATTTTTTTTTAATATATTTTTAAAAATTTTATAATTATTATTAATTTAAAATTTTTAATTTATTTTATTTATAATCGAAATTATATTATTTTAAATTAACGTAACGTTATAAAAAATTAATTTAAATTTAAAAACGTTATAAAATTATAACGAATATTTTAAATTTTTATTTTTTTATTTAAATTTTTTTAATTTAAAATATTTTTTTTTATTTAATAAATATAAATTTATAATTTAATTTATTTAAAAACGTTTTATAAAAATAATTAAATTATTATAATTATAATAAATTTAAAAATATAATAAAAAAAATAATTAATTAAAATAAAGAAACTTTGGCCGCGCAGTATGGGTACATCGTTAGATCCGCGCAGTAAAGCTAATTCGAAAAAGGTATAGCTTGGGGGTACCTCCGTCGCAATATAAACTAATATGTGGCAAGATGTATCTTTTCCCGCAATGTACCTTTTTGGAACACATAAGTCGCCCAACAGGTTTCAATCAATTGTTTCTCCTTCAATACACGCCCAAAAGCTTTATAATTATAATCAATTAAAAGCTTTCAATCTACCTTATTTACAATCGAAGTCGCATGCCTTCAAACTGGAGTGACGTCACAAAAAGTCAGTTTGAACCTGGAGGCGCTACAAGACTGCGATCGGAAGTCTTAGAATTCCTTACCTCTGCCCGAATCTTTTCAATCCAGAATATCTCTTTTTACTTGATAGATACAAACCTGCAACCTAATTCATTCGAAAGCGCTTCGTGAGAGCAATTGAATGATTGTAATTATAGTATATTTGAAGACATAGTGAAGGAGAAATAATTGATCAAAGTGGATTGAAGGGAAAGAGGGCGTTCTGGGTACCTTTCGAATGCGCTAGCGCGAATTTTAGCGCTACTGCGCGAATCAGCCGATGTACCCATATTGCGCGGCTAATGTTTTTTTTAAAATAAATTAAAAAAACGTTTTAAATATTTTTTAAATACGTTAACGTAAATTAATTAATATACTTATATTACGTAATTAAAGTTTTTTTTTTAATAATATAATTTAAATTTAAAAAAAATTTTAATTAATTAAAAATATTATTAATAAATTATTATTATTAAAATAAAATAATATTAACCGCGTAATATAAAAATCGAATTTTTCCCGCGTAATATTTCGTTAAAATTAAAAATATTTTTTCCCGCGTATAAATCGCCGTATAATTATTTATATTCGCGATAATTTAATTATTATTTTTTAAAATTTTAATTATATTTTATTATATTTATATATATTTAATTTTAATTTATTTTTTTTAATAAAATAAATTAATAAAAATATAAATTTTAAATTAATCGAAATTATTTTTAAAAATAATTTTATTTATTTTAATTATAATAATTAAAATTAAATATTAATTAAATTAAACGTAATTAAAATTAAAATTATATATTAATTATTTAATAAATTTTTAATTAAAAAGTTTTAATTTTATATATTAAATATATAAATATTTAATTAAAAATTTTTTTTATAATATATAATTAATTTTAATTAATTAAATTTTTAAAAATTTTTTATATAAATTTAATCGTAAAATTATTTAATTCGAATTAATTACGAAAAAATAAATTAAATTAAAACGTATATTTTAATAATAAATTTAATAATTTTTAATTTAAAAAAAAATTTAATTTTATTATTAAAATATATTTTTTATTTTAATTATTTATATTTTTATTAATTTACGGTTAATATAAATATATTTAATATTAATTAAATTATAATTAATTAAATTTTCGATTAAAAATTTTTTTATATTTTTATTAATTTATTTCGTTAAAAAAATAAATTAAAATTAAAAATATATAATTAAAATAAAATTTTTATTTTATATTAATTAAATTATTACGAATATAAATAATTATATAACGATTTATATACGAAAAAAAATATTTTTAATTTTTAACGAAATATTACGCGGAAAAATCCGGTTTTTATATTACGCGATTAATATTATTTTTAAAATAATAATATAATATTATTAATTATTTTTTAATTAAATAATTTTTTATTTATTTATTTAAATATTTTATAATTTAAAAAATTAAAAATTTTTATTTTAAATAAATTATAATTTTAATTTTTTTAATTTATAAATATTAAAAAATAAAATATTAAAAATTTTTTTTTATTTAATTTAATATATTTATTTATTTAAAAAATATTTACGATTAATATTATATAATTTATTAAAATTAAATTTTATTTAAATATTTTTTTTTATATTTTTATTAAATAAATATTAATTTTTATATAATTTATTTTATTTAATTATAAAATTTTTAATTAATTTATTTAATAAATTTTAATTTATTAAAAATAAATAAAAAAAATTATTTAAATTAAAAAATAAAAAAAAAATAAAAAAATTAATATATATATTTATAATTATTTTATATATAAAATTTTATATTTACGTTAATTACGAAAATTTATTAATAAATTTTTAATTAATTAAAATACGAACGTTTAAATTTAAATTATATTATTAAAATATAATATTATTAAAATAATAAAATTTTATAAAAAATAAAAAAATTATTAAATAATAAAAATTTAAAATATTAAAATTATATAAATTTTTAATTTATATATTATTATATAAATTTATTAAACCGAATATTCGGGTTTATTAATAAAAATTAATGTTTAAAAAATATTAAATTTTAATATTAATAAAAAATAACGCTGTTTACGCTGTATGGGGCCGGAAAAACGCCGGCGAAAAGGTGTACATATTGTCTCATACAAATTTGGTGGGCGGCCATGTACCCCAATTTAAGCTTTTGAACCTTATTCCAACATTTGTATCTTTTCTCCACGCCATGTTTTCAATCAATTGTTTCGCAGCCAAACTGGGCTAAAAAGTTCAATATTTACATCCTTTCAATTACTCTCGGAATGCGCTTTCGATTGAACTAGGTTGCACAAGATTTGAGGCTGGACTGAAGGGACAGGTTGCGACTGAACCTGAAGCGGGCTGAGATTGACTCGAATCGATCGAAGTGACAGCCAGCTTTCTACCTTGAATCTTGCAATCAATTTTGGACTTGAAGATCTGCAAAAGGGATAGAAGATAGTTCAAATCGAGCGCTTTTGATTGCATTTATTTTTAGAAACTGAAACGCTGATTGAAAGCGAGGAAAGGTGGTTGAAGTTCATCGAGTACAAGGCGGCATTTCAGTACAAACTGTAGCGCGTTCGAATCAGCGCTAAGCCCTTTTTTGATACAGCGCGCGTACCACTAAATCGCATACAGCGCAAGGCTCAAAGTAAATATCACGGATTATAAGTAAAAAGAAAAAAACTATCGTTTTAAACACATTCTTAAAATACTCGGGGTAGAGTTATTACTTTACGGAATTACTTCAACCGAAACCGACCCCTTAAACAACTCTATCACAACAATCTATTAACCCGTCGCATAGCTCCCGGATCCGATCGCGGCGGTCCGATTCCAAAATTTGACGATCGACCCCCATATCCCCCTCCCAGGCGTCCAACTCTTTGCCAATCTCCGCCGCCGCGTCGAAGATCGCCTCGAGCTTAATTTCTGAACGATCGTCAAAACAATCCATCAACCCGTCGTACAGCTCCCGGATCCGATCGTGGAGGTCCGGCTCCGAAAATTTGCGGTCGACCGCAGTATCTTCCTCCCAATCGTCCAACTCGTCTTTGATACCCGCCATCGCCTCGAGGATATCCCTTGTCCCGAACGCGTTACGGCGCGGGTATAAGTCGTCCCCGTTTTCTGGCGCGCGAGAGTGATGAGGTGAAGACTGGATGGGGGGCGATCGAGCGCCAGCCTTATCCCCGCTTACCAGGCTTATAGAGTTCGCACTAAGAACGTCGTAGGCTGAGGACGGTAGTAGACGTTCGGGATTCCCCATGCCCGCTCCGCGCTGCTTTCCTGCGATGTCTCGGATCGGATGAGGCGTGATCTCGTGCAGAGGAGATTCGGGATTCTCGGCGGCTGCTCGCAGGTTTTCTGATTAGCTGGGCAACGTGTATCTGAGAGAGCTTATAAGAAAGAGATCGGAGGAGTTTCATACCCATCGCGCGTCCTCCTCTGTCGCCGGACCTAGTTGACTGGAGCTCAGCGCGTTCACTATTGCGGGAGAGCGACCTAGGTTCCGATAAGCTTGCTCCATAGTCTTCTCCCAGGCCGAACAAGGGAAACCCGATACGGCTTCGAAGCGGCGAGGTATTGCGACGGCCCGGAGACTCCAGGGAGGGCAATAACGCAAGGCCGGCTTCGACGTTGGGCGGTGAGTTCCCACGGTGTTTTGATTTTTGGCTATCGTCGCCCGAGAGCTTGGTTGGTGTTTCGAAGAGGCTTCGATGCTTTAGTGGGAGGGTGCGTCCCCGCGGCGCTCCGCCGAGATCGTCGTCCACATCGACATCGGGGAGAGATTGGCGGTAGCGGCCGGCTCGGTCAGCGGCGCGGAGCTCCTTTCTGCGGTAGCGAGCAAGGATCTGCTGCATCGTGACCCATCGATATTGGACGTCGGGCGGGTTTAGCCGTAATCGCCTAGCTAACGACGCGGTTGACTCCTTGTTGCCCTTGCAGGCGGTCATGATGCTGGGGAGTATGTGATCCCGTGTCGCATCCGTGATTTGCATTTGCCGTATGAAGATCAGAGCGATTAGCTCGACCTTCTTCGGACTATTTCCGACCTTCTGTACGAAGATTCCATAAGGCTGTGCGATGGCTTCCAGCTCGGGGATCGTCTTATTCCACAGGTTGATTAAAGGCTGCGACGAGTCAGCCTCCGGGTAGCCGCTCTGGTCTCCGCTCGTTTTCATATTGTCGATTTTCTGATAGGGGAAGTGAGTGTAAGGCGGAGGAGAGGGACTCTAGGTCCCAAACGGAAAACCAGTGTAGGTTAAAAGTAGAGAAAGTTGCTGATGAAGGAAGGAGATGGCAGCTTCTAACACGAACCAGGCCATGCCACTCGCACACTGCGGGGCACTCCTGAAACTGATACAGGCAACTAAGGGAATGCAGAAGGCGTCTGGTTGCGACCGAAGGTACCTCCTGATTCCATTGCGTTCGTGGCGACCAGCGGCCAGTCTGGACGGACTCAGCAGTTTCTAACTTAGAGAAACCCCACCTGCTCACAGATCTGAACTTCCTGGCTCCCTGCCGGCATATATACACTGTTGCCGTGCCTGCACGCCGTCGCCCGTTTTCCCGGATGCTCCTCTCCTACTCCCATGCTAGTCTTCTCATCACCGACAGCCAACATTAGGAATGGCGTCCAACAACGCCCCTCTCCCTTCTCCCGAGAAGCCTACTCCGCAAGGACGGTGCTCAACCATCTACAGCAAAACTGTTGACGAACTCCAGCAGAGATGCATTGACCGAGGGTTGGCCATCGCGTGGGATGGCGGTCTACCGCTCAAAAGATCTGAGCTGGTGGCGGAGGAGCACATGTGGGACATGGGCTTTCCAGAAGAATTGAAGCGCGCAGCTCGAAGTGGCGTCGTCGACCTAGTAGGCGCGACAGCGAAGCAGCTCAAAGAAGTAACCGCCATCCTCAAGATCTCCGTACCCTCGACACTGAAGGCCGATTTGGTGGCTGCCATACTGGACCGGCTCAAGGTGTGGCACTACGATGGCACGGCCTTGCCTAATCTCAGCTCTCACCTTAAGATGGCGAGTTGCAACTGTGCCCATTTTACGTCCCTAAAAGATACGCTACTAACGTTTCCACAAGGTGCCTTTCGATAGCCATGCGCCTAGCTCTCCTGCGCTGTCGGCAACCGTCGAACGTCCCCGGAAACGACTCGCTCAGGGCTCACCGGGGCCCAGCTCGGACCTCGAACTCATTCCCGGATACGCGGAGTCGCGACCTCCCGTAAACCCGGGTTCCAGCCAGCTCCCGCGCGAAGGAGGTAGGCCACAGCCTGGGCTGAGCGAGCTCGCCCTTGAATTTGCCAGGAATGTGGTATCAATCGCGCCAGAACACTTCTCAGGAAAGATGGCTCCCGCCCGCCGGGCCCAATTCGAGGGCCGGCTGAAAGACTTGGAAGCCATCTTCAAGGATCAGGAAGAGAAAATAATGCGCCACGTGGCTATCGTACAGGGCGAGTTGTCGAAGGTAGATGCCATTTTGATTGAAAACAAGCAGGCTCGGGACAACATGGATTCGCTTTTCAGGGAAATGTGCGATAACGGTGTGTAACGAACTGGCGTTTTCGCGATTTATTTTCGCTAATGTTTTTACAACACGTATTTAAATATTAAATAATATTTTTTTTCGTAAATTTGAAAACCAACACCAAATCTGCAGTGTATACGGTTATATCTGCAGTGCTGAGCCATTTTGGAGAGCCGAAGTTGTGCCGGAGGTCCGAGCTCAAAAAGGTACACCTTTCGCCATACAATTCCACATACAAATCCAAGTATCTTTTTAGCCTCAAAACCTTAAATTCCACACCTAACTAGATACATCAACTCCCATCTTGAATCAATTATTATTATTTCACGTCCGAAAAGTCTCGGATCCTTCTAGAAACTGAAACATATACTGACTAGTTGATTTTTCATCGAACGAACTAGACTGCATCACCTTCTACCTCTGTTTGATTGAAAGAAAGGTCTTGGAAGCTGGCTTGATTAGTACTGTACTACGAAGTAGGTTTGCGACCGGTATTCCGAACCCTGCCACAGGAAAATACTTCCTACCAAAGTTTCAACAGGAATAGCTCAATCAAACATGGTTCAAAATCGATGCAACCAGGCTCATTCAATTTACCTTCGAGTAACATTCTATCCATAAGAAATTGCGAAAGATTTTACCCAGCTTTGATTGAGAAATAGCTGGTTGAAGTCGTGGTGTTTTTGGTGTTCTTGTACTGTGGCGGGGTACTTCAGTTTATATGAGGATTTGTATTGCAAATTATGTACCGTTTGAAAGCGGGGCTTCGCCACCTTGTGGCTGACACTGCAGATATAGACATTCGTACGGACCTTTTTACTTATGGCGTTAATATTATATGGCGTTAAATAGGTATAATCGTAAGCTAGGCTTACTAAGATAACTTTTCGTAAACTTGAAGTATTAACGTTTCGATTGCCGGCGACATAATGACATCACCCGAATGACCTTCCTTAAAGCATATACGTCTTTTTAGGTATAAAACTACTAGGTGCTTAAGCGAGCGTATTAACAGCATTTTAATGAACATGGAACCGTGCTTCACAGTGAGTAAGGCTCAACCTTCCTTCTACCTATTGCCTACTAACGATATACAATACAGTGCCGATCATGTGCAAAAGGTTGTCTAGGGTCCGGGGTCGGCTTCCAAGCCGCGGATAATCGTCACCTGGTCGAGCTCGACAACATCGACGTGTCGATTACGAACAGTTTCCCCATATTTGACATGAACGGAAACTGCCACAACGTTTATCTGCGTAACGACATCGTCTCCCGGATTGTTGCGCCCAAGTTTTATCACAGCACATTCCGAGGGCTACGAATTGCCTTTTTCGATAAGGTTTCGGAGGAGGACTGGTGGGAATTCGACACCAAGAGACTTGGCGTCAAGTTCGAATTTGTGGACAACATCCACTTGTTAAACGGAAAGCTTGACGGCTACCTGCCAATATTCCAAAAGGGCGAAGGTACAGAGGAGTGGGAAGAGCATTGCAGGGCGTCCGCAAATATCGAACTTATGGGCATCCACAATGGCATTAAACGTTCTTACCGCTACTTTGTCAGACGTTCCGTATTGGAAAATCACTTTAGCAGGAAACACACTGCCGACGAAATTCATTGGATATCGCGCAAACGAAATGAGATGCTGCGAGCGACCCTGGGGTCCGACTTCCCACCCTTCACAAACCACCACAGCTGGAGCTTGTCTGAGCAGAGGGATCTCTTTCGGCTTCTTGAAAGGGAGACCCAAGCACGCTCTAGCCTAAATCAAGCCCTACAAAACGTCGCTCATCGATTTCGACAGATTCCCAACCACCAGGAAACAGAAACCTGGTCGATCTTTGAGTTCTTCCTCCGTATAGCGAATAGAACAGCAGTTGAGGCGGAAACGCTGCCGCAGCAGGACGAGACTGAGACCAATTTCGAACTGCCCAATATGAAGCGCGCGATATCAGATGTGATGCGCTACTTCCCCGATTGGGGTCTCGCCGGCCGGCCCGGCTCTTTCGCCCAGTTTCTCAGGGTGGTTGGGTATCGGATCTACTGTCTAGGCTCGTATACGGAGACACCGCTAACCTTTCGACGGTGGATTTCGGCGTGGCACGCGACAGGTCTTACAGACCTTGATCGGATCATGCGTCCTCCTATCCAGGACTACTCTGGATGTGCGGGACCTAGATGGAATGGCCGATTGCACCTGGAGCCGCTCAAGGCCGCCTGCGAAGCTTGCCTCAACGACGGGGCCACCATCTTCCAGATATATCAGAGCTTTTTGAAGATAAGGAAAAGGCAAGGCTCCGCGCACTTAGCCGAAAAGGTCTACCAACTAATGGGCTTAGCCCCTGGTGGGCCGCCTCTCGTGAGGGTAGCAGGGTACTTTACAAGAAGTTGGCGCACTTGGAAATGCACCGACGATCCGTTTGTGCAATACCTATCACAAAAACAGCAAGCCGAGGGCATTGTTCTCTCTCGCGCACCACGGCGCAAACGCCAAATGCTCAAGCTGAGATATTCCCCGCCTACTCAATTGATTGCCCCCGACCCTCCGCGCAAGCGGCCGAGCTCAGACCTGGCAGCCTGGGTTGACGGCCTGGATTGGGACGGTATTGCAAGAAAGGCAGCTAGCGAACGCAACCACGCAAAAGCTACCTTAGAGAAATACCCCTCGCTAACGCAGAGAATCCTCACACATCGCTTATTTACGAACGCAGACGCAGAGCTTCTCTCTAAGCATCTCGCCCAAACTCTCGAAATTTATGGAAAAGCCGGCTTCAGCCTCCTAGACCCTAGGTGGCAGCTGCTTAAGAAAACGGGTTTAGGCCGACAGGAACCTACGCTTCCCTGGGTTATATATGGAGACGTCGAGGCTCTACATTCCCCGAAAACGCGCGGTCCTGATGAATCAAAAACCCGAATTTTCGCGTTTCACATGCTCAAGGCAGACGCACCGCGTTGTGACCCTACATGTCCACCTCATATGGAGGGACATCTCTTCATCACCATAGACCACCGCATGACCATCCTCGAAGCCACCATTGGATGTCGACCCCTCAGCTACACATACGTAAAAAAGCAATACCGAACAGCAGACGTGAGCCAACGCACCTATGGGACGTACGAGGCTGACGTCGCGGATAGACTTAAGGAATTCGGCATTACGGAGGACAAACGACAAGATGGGATCATGATTTGCTATACCGGAGGCCGTGGCGGAAGTAGTTGGGACTACCGGTGCTTGAGCGCGCTCCCTAACTGCCGGCCCCTACTCCCGTCCCCTTTAGACCCAGCACATCTATTTTCCCCTCTGGGCTGGTTTCCTTGGACAAGACTAATAATAGCCTTCAAAGCGCTTACACGGGACGAAGAAAATCCAGAGCAACGTCAGTATTACGAGTCGCTGGCGAAAAATCATCACTATCCGTGGGCAGACAATGAGATGAGTCGAATCGTCACGGAAAAGTTACTTCTAACTTATTACCGGGATGCTTAACTCGACTCTTCCAAGTAGCTGGTTGGGAGAGTGCCAGAACAGAGCTGCTCGGCGGTGGCCGGACGTGGGATGAGCGCTGGTACGAGAGTTTGTAAGGTAGCTTGCTCATATTTACCGTTGATGCTTGACAATTGATCAATTTTATCCGCGATTTATAAATTTGTCCACGCCGAGCAAACATCTCTCGCTCTCTCTCTCTCCTGCAAAAGTGCCTCTTGCTCCCATCAAGCCCGCTGCACTCCGGCGGGTAGCTGCAGCGTTGCGGGTCGGAGGTGAAATCCGACACACTTTATAGGTTCCACAGGCTCGCCAGGAACGAATCCTCGCTTTGTTCGCCAACGGATTTTTTTGCAACGTCCTCATGCTACCCATTTACATTTTGGGTTACTAGGAGAGTGTACTTCTTTCTCCGGCTCGCTCGTCACCACACACCGCCGTCCATGGGTAGGCCTTCAAACAACCCCTGGCCCTCTTGGGTTAACGTAGCCAGCGGCTCTTCTGCGTCAGGTCAAGTATTCTACAGAGACGCCACTCAAACCGCAACCGCGTACCTCCTACTTCTAGAAGGCGACCCAGGCCTCCCCCGCGCCCAGGGCATCTCCATAGGCAAGCAGCGCGCTTACCTAACGCTCAACTCGTACGGCATGGAATATAAAGAAGAATATGTTGAACCCCTTGGAAAGATACTATGCAATCATCGCAGTATGGCACAAAAGAAACAAGTTGCGGGAATCTCCGCGAAAGCAATCAAAACCTCCCCACAGCTCGCAGAAGCGTTGATCCACGTTAGTGTAGTTCGTTCAGAGGTCCTGAAGGTGCGCCTCACTAACACGCCATAGAGGTTTCAAAGCAATCCTCCGCAGGTAGCGCTCTCGCCGTTAAAATCCCCTCGGACACGGAAAGCGGCATCTCCTGTGGCGACGACCGAACCCCGCCCCCCCGAGAAACGATCAGCCTTCCTAGGGCTCGGGAATGTAACCGAGAAAGGAGAGGCCGGGACTCACCTGCTTCAGCCCCGTGATCGCGAGTTGCAAATGTCAGGTAAGGCTCATCAAGCGGTAGGCATGTATACCTTAGAGGGTTAACCCTGCTGCTAGATGTCTTGGCTCCTTCGACAAGTAGAGATTTCCCGTTCCGCCCGGGAAACCAAGTTTCGGCACGCCATCCACAACCGGAGAGTCGTCCCACCCCCAGTCTAGAAGAGTCCTCGGAGCAAGGAAGCGCGGTCCCAGAGGAACGTGGGGGAGACGCAACATCCCCCCTTGCGGTGGAAGAAAAGTCAGTTCGTAAGCGGAGAGGTCGACCGAGAAAGATGCGGCAGGAGGGGGAGACCGCCGCCTCAGCGCAGTTGACGGGAGCGGACCAGGGCATAGGGGCCGATGAGGAAATAGCGGCTCACTTGGATAATGACCGCGCCAAATTTTCTCCAGCCAAATCGTGGGCGATCTGGCAGGGCATTCTGAAGGAGATGTACGGGGAGGGCTCGAAGCAGCTCAAACAGTGGGAGGATCAAATGCCTCGTTGATGTCCTAGTCATTCGATAGCGGTCGCCGGTGGTCTTGGGTTGGTCCAAGTGCGAGGCTTGCGTAGACTTTATTCTTGCTTTCTTCATTTTTTTCTTACCATAACGGGAAATAATGAAACTTCATAATTATTAATAAAACTGGAGGACCCCCTGGTCGGCGGTCACAATAACCCGAAGTTTACGAATCGTCCGACGTTTACCCGTTACTCACTTTCTCCGTTACGGAGGTTCGATTCCTCGATACGTTCAACCTTTTGAACCTTTTTATATCGTTTCGCGATCGTAACAAGGTTCAATCAACTATTCTCGTATACTTAATAATAACCCCCCCTCCCCTCCTTTCAACCTATCCCGGACCCGTTCCTTTATTTACTCTTACGAACCTAGATCTAGACCTAGCCCTGATCCCTCGATTCTCCTTTGCTAACCCCATTATAAACCCCTGCTAATCCCTGCCGATCCCTTAATTTCCCTTTTAACCCCTTTTGTAATTAGTGATCAAGATTCAGGTGTAATCTTTTAATTATATAAACTGTCAGGTGTTCCTAAGCTAGGTCAGGAACTTGACCTTTAACCTGGTTGAACTAATTGAACTGATTGAACTTTTATATAAATAAATCGATTAATGGAATAGTCGATCGAAGATTAGTCATCTAAGTCTCCTCCCAGGTCAGGTCAGACACTTGACTTGACAGCAGTTTTATAAACACCTTATATAATGAATTCAGTTTAAAAAAAAAGGTCGCGGGTGGATTCGAACCCAGCGTCAAAAAGTGGTCAATGCGTTACGATAATCCTGGCTACTTTTTATTAGATAAGGAATTCGAATATGTGGGTCTAATCTATGTACTTCCTTCCACCCAACCACCTGGCACCCCAGGACTGCTTAGTCACCTTAGTCATCTCGATTCCAGGGTCCCGAGTCCCGTACTAGAAGTAGCAGAATGGAGTCAGAAAAGACCGCCCATGTGCTAATCCTACTGTATTGGACTGTGCAAGTAAGTATCCTTTGCTGTGCTTATATTGGCAATTTATACCCAGTATACTCATCATAATTGGTAGAAAATACCTGTTGTGTAACAAGGGGGATAGTTTTAGTGACAGTGCAAATAGTAAGATTAGCACATGGGACACTTTTTCTGATTCCATTCTGAGTAGGTACTAGGTAATTCCTCTTGATTATTAATACAACTCCTGCTACCTAGTACGTAAGCTCCCACGATCCCCGCGCTCTCTCATTGGGTGCATCCCCTTCAATTGATTACCTAATCTTCGATTTTACTGATCTTTGATTGACCTACCTACCCACTTACCTACTTTTGAACTGACTATTCGATTAATCCTGGGACTGATTTACTGACTTTCGGACCTACCTTTGAACTGACTTCCGAACTGATCTAAGGACTAAATTTAGGATTGACTTACTAGTAGACAATTGAACGAATTTGCTGATTAATTTATTAACTGTTCGACTGATCGAATAACTGATCGAATAACTGATCTAAGGACTTATTTACTAATCGATCTACTTAACCCTCGTAAAACTCGGGCATTAAGGTCTCACCACAAAAGTTCTTTGACTTATAAAAAAAACTTAAGTTAAATTAATTAAAATAATTTTGATATATTAATTGAATTAACGGGTATTTTTAAGGTCGGCCGTTTATGGTCCACTTGAAATCGTTTAATTTCTCTACTAATAAGCGAATCTCTTTATCTCGTAGGATCTCGTTCCGGAATCTAGGGAGCGGAGCGTCAAGGAGCACGTTACAATACGACCACCACATGTAGTATAAGTATACAACACAGCCCTCTCCCTTGACTTGCTGAAAGCAAGACACGGCGAGCTTCCGTATCCATTGCCGGCGCGAGGCTCTTGTGAAGTGGCGGCACAACTGGCCGTCCCAGCGCAGGTTTTGGAATTGGATTGTAATGGAGGGGTATTTGGACGAGGTAACGAGACTGAGCATGTAGTCCGGGAAGTTGGGGCCGCAGATCTGGAGCCGGAGCGGAGCATCGGTAATCCTGGCCACCAGGAACCGCTGGAACTCTTGCAGATGCCCTCTGAGGGTCAGCCCGGCGTCGTGGGTAGCGACGTACGCACGGAGAGCCGTTTCCATCTCGACGCGGTCGTCCTCGCCGAGAGCGAAGCCTTTGCCCCCTAGATCGAGTCAGCGTCGGCATCCTTTGGGCCCGCCACGGATACTTACCAAATACTGTGCTGAAGCCGCCAATAACGTTTCGGATCACCATGGCGCGCCACGACGATACCCTACCCTCGGGAGTGGCGCCGCCGCCGAAGGAGAGCTCATGCCACTCCCCACGGACGTCTCGTAACCTCAGCTCTTTCGCGCCCGTGAGAGGGACCGCATACTTAAGATTCTGGCCGACGAGGTGGAAGTTGTCAGCCCACTTGAAACGTGGTCGGCTTCGGCTCCGCTCGGTCTGGAGCGCCCTTTGCGGCCGAGGCCGAGGCCCCATCGCCTTAAGCAAAAATCTGGCGCGCCACACCCTCAGACTTTCTTTCTCGTGCATGACGGGTCCTATGCTCTCGAATCTGTGTTCCGCACCTCCTACGTCTCGCAGCGCGATCGGCAAAAGCTCGGCGCGGGCCAGGGAAAGCTGCTCGCGCTCGTTATTCTCCCAGCGGAAGATTGCGTGGCACGAGGGGGAGCCGCGGCCGATCGCACCGCACGTCGTGCACTGCACATGTCAAAGGTCAGCCGGCAAGATGTCAAAGGCCTGCGAGACGGCCGTGGGCTCACCTGGACTACTAGAGGCGAGCTGAGCTTGCCTGCGACTCTTGGTACAATGAGTTTTGTTGGAGGGTTCGCGTCTGTCATGTTGACGGCTGGCTGATTTTTTCTTTCTCCTGCGAGCCGGGTAGGTGTTAGCGCCTATTGAAGGATCCGCCGTTACGGTACTGGGTTTGCATGGTACTGTTGAGCGCTATGTCTGGTTTTGGATGGAGGAGCGGAACCGCCTTTTGTAAAGGAGGGCGTAGAGCTGCTTAGGTCTTTCTGGCGACTTCTTGATGTCTGTCGCTACTGCTTTTCGAATCTCAGGCAGCCTTCTACGTTCTGGTGCGATTGCCTTCCAATGTCTCAAGCCGCGGTCCGGTGCTCGACAGTTCTTTGTAGTTTGCCAGATCATAGCAGGTTGCATAGAGACGCTCCTAAGGTTACCACGGCACATCTGCTCGTACGCTCGTGAGATGGCTACCTTAGCAGAAAATTCGACCTCGCACCTCCCATACGGCACGCATTACCATGTTCTACAGCCCATATCCGCCATAGCCGCCGGCAGGGTAGCCGTGTATAATTACGAAGGAATCCGTCGCTGCCACCGCTGCCTCTGCTTACAGAAGAGGCCGCTAGCGCACCAGCGCAAGTGTGCAGGTCTCTCCGACACGAATTCGTTCCCCTGCCTGGCTCGCTGCGGGCGCGCGTTTTCAACCCCGGCAGCTGCTCGGAAGCACGCGCTGCGCTGCGAAGGATCGAGGATCTCGCAAGATCGGTATGGGACATATGTGTGTCCGATATGCGGAGTTGCTGGGTTTTCCGGGTCGGCAGTGGCCAAGCACGTGAGCGATTGTAGAGGCAAAAGGTCTGCCGTCCTAAAGCCGTATAGCGCGATGAGAAACTTGTGCTGCTGCGATTCGTGTGGGGGGGTATTTCTTCGAAACGGCTTTCGCCGCCATACGTGCCACGTTGTCGGCGATCCGGTATGGTTCGGTCGACAGGACGGCCCCCCCGACTTATCCACGACGTACGTCCGCTGGTGCCGCAAGGCAGGCTTGACTCTAGGTGGCGTACCGGGAGAGATGCCAGACGTGGTCCCTGACCTGACCATATCCGTGCCTAGCGCGGCGGCGGACGAGCACAACGGCAGCAAACCTGCGGAGTGGCTTTCGGTCGTAGAGGGCGACGACGAAGACATGCTTAGCGACGCCGAAGGTGGGGATGACGAGTACGCCTTCTCGGACGAAGAGGAGGGACAGCGGCGGGAGGAGGACGACGTCCTCGACGACGGCGAGAGCGGAGACGAAAACGAGGAATTGGGAAACCAGCCCGACGGACGCGCGGAAGGCCTGCTCGGTGCCCACAGAGCGCGCATGGCCGTCGCGCTGCAACGCGCTCGCGTCACCTTCGACTCTCTTGATCCGACGCCTTGTGAAGGGCTGACTTGGAGACACGGATACTTTCCTTGCCCGTTCGGCACTGTCATCACGTCCGATACAGCTTACTTTAGAAGCTCCGTTAGACGTGGCGGGGTAAAGCAGCTTCAGATCCTGCCGTTTTGTTTCAGATGCGCGTCGTTGCGAAATAAGATATCTTCCTGGGTGGCGGAAGGGAAATATACCGTGGGCGGCGTGCATCTTTGCCGCAGGAGAGGGTGCCGCAAGCCCGTGGCCGCGTTGTGGCACTGCAAATATCATGCGGATCAGCTCACTCGCATCAACATTAGGGGTGAGGGTCGCTTGGGCGCGACCAGGGTTGTGCCGCCTGAGTACTTGGCCGACTTCGCAAGATCTTGCACGGCGAGAGAGCTAGTATGCCGACGCTGGAACGCCGTGAGAGACGCCGTGTTAGGGGCGCCAGGGCTATCGCCGGTATTTTTTGTCGATACCGAGTCCGTTTACGACTACTGGCGGCGTGCCTTCGTAGTATGCGAGCTGGCGATACGGTCCGCGTCTGGAGAGCTTTTGTTGCATACGCCGGTGGACCATGGGCTCGCGCAACGCCAGCTCCGACAGCGTATCAGGCCTCATATGTTTGCGAAACTTGCTCGCATTTACGATTTTCGTGACCTGTCCGGCCGGACGCATGGCATGACGCCGGAGCAGGTCACCGAGGCGTTGGTTCGGATCGGGATGAAGCCGTCGGCGTTCTTGGTGGAGTGGTCCCTCTGCGGCTTCGATCTGAACGCTCTGCGATCTACGTTCGACTGCTCCATATTCCCTACTACCGCGTTACTCGGCCATAGACTCTGGAGGGACCTGGGTGTGCCTGGGAGCCTAGCGTTGATGCCCTTCTTCTCCTCGTTATTCCCGCACTCCTATCTTAATCAGGATCACCACCTCGCCTCGATCGATTCCGAGAAGCTCTTTCTCACGGTGCGCAGCGCTCTCGCGCACTTTAGGTGATGGGCGCCGCCGGCTAGGTCGTGCGGCTATGGCTGGCTCGGATGCCGACCTAGACTCGACTGAGTACTGAAGATCTACCGCGTTAGAGGCACCTTTGTGAATGTAATCTTGTTTTGTCACATGATTGCGATAAGATCTGGACCGTTGTGATCGAGAATTACGACAGTGTTGTCGAGGCGGGCGAATATGTTATTAAAGGGCGGAGCTGATAAATGAGTGACGGCGATACATTATTTTTAGAATACGCAGACCGGTGGTCTTTCTATAAAAAATTTAACAAACACTTTTCATTAATCGTCACGAACGTCGCGAGCCTCATATTAAACTTTACCATGTAAGCAATATGAAACGGTTTAATTTAAAAGTAATAAATAATTTAGAGCAATGCTAGCCGCGCAGTATGTGGTTCGGCTAATTTCCCGCGCAGTATCGGATGAAACAAATGTCGAAGAACGGTGTACATTTTGTCCCGTACAAATTAGGTGTATTTCCATGTACCGTTTTTAGTCTCGAACCTTATTTTCAACATGTACACACATTAATCTTTAATTAATTGTTTCTTAATCAATCCATGTTTAAATCTTTAATGATTACAATTAACGTAATCGCATCGAAAGGAAGAATTAAATGAACGTAGTTGCATCGAATTCGGGACTGAAAAGGCTGTTGCATCGTTGAATCTAAGTCAGATCGCAATGAGGGCAACAGGATCAACAGCCAGAAACTGAAAGTAGATATCCCCTTTCGATCCAGCTTTCAGGATCGAAACAGGTTCTAAATGATCAACCTTTTAAACAGTAGATAGACCAATTCAACAGCTTTTAATCAAGTCACGTTTGAAAAGTTCAATCGGAGATTTAATAGAAAAAGGAGCCCTGAAGAGAGATTAATACAAGAGAAAAGTCAGGTGTAGACTCTTTGGAAAGTGTACAAGTTCAATTGCGCTAGCGAGAGATAGCGCGAAAAGCCGATTTTGAGAGTACATCTCGTCGTATGGGGCTTTGTATGGGCAAAAAGGTACTCTTTCGAACGCGCTATTTTAGCGCTACTGCGCGGGAACTTAGCCGAACCCCATACTGCGCGGCTATCATTACTCTTTATATAATTATATATATTATTAATTGTATTTTAATAAAACTAAAAATATAATTAAAAATTAAAGTTTTATGCAAACATAACCTATCGGGTGATATTCGAATCGTTTTATAATTTTTGCTCATTCTGCTAGTTAAACCGTAGTATTCCCTTCGGGAATATAGGTGAATGTTTATGGAACCAGTATCAGTACCTTTACATTTCTGATCCGTCTTGCTAATCGATGCGCGGCACCCCTTGGGGAGACCGGTAAAGCCGTGGTTAGGGTGTATGAGTTGATTCGTGTTTGTTTGGAGGTAAGTTCCGATCGTACGGTGGGGTGGCGTACTAGGTACGTGATCTATCTACGCAGCTAAGAGCGGGGCGGCAAGTGGGATAGCAGCCGATATACCGACGCATTTGGATGCTTCTGTGTGCCTCCCGGCTCTGAATACGTAAAGTTTCGTTATAGGTAAGGAGATTTCAAGGGTACGTGCATCACGCAAATATCGACGATCGATAGATCGATTCTATAATTTGTCGTGAGAAGTCTGGACAGATCGACGGCGGTTTATGAAAGCATGTATCCATGCCGAGGGGTGGCTTCAGGAACAGAATATCTCCTCTTTTGTATGTAGTATGTGATAGCACATTGTTAGGTTGGAGTTCGTTGCGCAATGGCACGTCCGCCATCAATATTATATTGTCTGCCTGGTGACACCTGCTATTGGTAGGGCCGCTTACGCCTCTGATATCTAGCTGCTTCGAGGTTCGCGAGGCTGGCCAGGCCTTGTGTCCCAAGCTAAGCTGCGCGTTCGAGAGTGTTTGCGAGTGTTCTCCGTATTGACTAGCTAGCGCCCGGTGAGGGCTAGATACCGCGTATGTGTTCGGCGTGAGACACGAGATATTGTTGTTAGCTTAGAGGTGCTTGCTTTAGATCTTTTCGGTGGTCCTGTCAGACGTCGAAATATGTGTAATTGTGAAGCGCGTGTTAAGGCATGTGCGAAGCTTGTCGGGGCGTATGGAATCGGTAGCTTTGCTTTCGATAGCACTTGTGCAGAGCAGTGACCTTTGTTTCATCGACAGATGAGCTTTGGTCACTGACATAGGCTGGTGCTGGGCTGGGCTTTGTTATCCCCCCTCACCAAATAAGTACTAGGTAGGTAAGAAATGAGGTCTCACAGCTGCAGTCTAGAGGGGAACTGCACCATATCCTACAGTTGGAGACTCGAGGCTTAAGCCTTCAAAAGAGCTGATTGGGTTGCTGATAAATAAGCATACGATGTGCATGATGTTTCTGTTTAACCGAGAATGGACGTTGATGTATCTTTAAGTTAAATCGTTGATATAGGAGTTACTGAGGTTATTAATAAAGGTTTCCTTGACCAAGATAGAGATGGCCAAAGAAAAGTAAGATCTACGAGCTTCTAAGATACCTACAAAGGCTTACGAAACGTACACGCCTTTCGAGAAGATACATTCTTTCTTACTTACCTGAGTCTACGATCATTCTATAATACCAATAAAAAAATGCCGGATCGACATGTTTTCATACACTGGTAAACTGAATAAAATAGTAGAAGATGAAGTTCACACCTGAGAGTTGTTGGAATGCTTGGATACCAACACCTGTTAGCTGACGCTTTAGGATGGGTCTACGGAAGCAGTCGAGGTACGAGGCCTTGCCGATACTCATCTCGTAGTTGTGGCTCGCCTCGATTTCGTGCAGTTCCTCTTGGATCGCGTTGTGGTTAGCGTCGATTCTCCGAAGTCTGCCCAGGGAGAGAGCGGCTTTGTCATGTAGACCCTTCTTGATCAAAAATCGGGGCGTTTCCGGCAGCATGAACATGCCGATGATGAGAATGATGGCCCACGCGAATTGAACAGCGATCGGGATTCGGTAAGAGCCGGTATCCTGGCGGTACTGAGTGGCGTAATTCACAATGGCGGCTAAAAGAAGACCGATCGTGATAGCGAACTGGTATGCGCCTACAATGGCACCTCGAATCCATCGCGGTGCTGTCTCACTCTGGTATAGGGGAACTGAACTACACGTTAGTCCTGTCCAAATAGAAGTCGGCATCGGTATACGAGGACTTACTAAGAGCGGAAATTAAACCGACACCAAGACCGGCAAAGAACCGACCAGCTAAGAACAGAGGCAAGGCCGTAGCTACGGTCTGCAATATAACGCCGAGAATGAACACCCACGAGGAAGCGATGAGAGCCCAACGTCTTCCTATCGTATCAGCGAACATCGGCGATCCTAAAGCGCCGAAGAAAGTACCCGCCGATAGGATCGACACGATGGCAGACGATTGAGAGGGTGAAACGTCTGCGTGACCTTTCGTATTCACGTAGCCTGTCGAGAATAGATTTTGCCAGTAATCCATGGCTAGGATACCGCTGATCGTCCCGGTATCATAACTGCATATCCAAAGTTAGCCCAAACACCTCCAGCACCTGTGTAGGTATACTCTAGACCAATACATGGTGCAGAGGATTTCGTTAAGACTTACCCGAATAAAACACCACCGAAGGCTACGAAAAAGCCGATGGCGATGGCCGGCCAAGCCTTGCCGGCCTCCTCTTCAGGCTTCTTGAACGCGAAGCGACTCATGGCGGGATGAGATATTGATGTTGTGCCAAGAAACCTATCCTATGATATGATGTCGACGAATACTAAATAGAAGAAGGGTATGTATGACTAGGTGAGGGATGGCCAAGGTTTATATAGGAGATCTAAGGCTTAGGGATCAGCAGAACGATATTCGGAATAAGCCCGATCACTTGCAGACGCGACGGTATTCATGCAACCAGGGTCGATCTCAAAGAAAAAAAAAAGAGATAAATGATGAGGTATGTAATATGGAATATGGGTATACGGTAAGGGTCAAAGCCCCAGAAAAGACACGAGGCACCGGGGTACAGAAGCCATTGAGAGCTGCAGAAATACCTGATCCTTGTCCCTTGTCCCAAGACTTACCAATTCCAACCTATCGGTCGATGATGGTGATAGGTATATACATTGGAGTACAGTACATTCATTGCATGGTGTTATTAGATGGAACGTCGACTGAGGGGTACCTAGTACTGTAGGAATCGTCGTTGAAGGCTTTCGTCTTTCGTGTGCTTTCATGTCCTTTCTAGGCAAGACCTCTACCAGAGTAATACATCACGAGGATAACTAATAGAGAACGGTCCGATTGTAGCGCAAAGATGGGGCTCGGTCTCTCAGAAACCTCCCCCAAGTTCCCCAATGATGATAGATTTTCCCCATCATGTTGGGGGACCCCTTGGGGAGGGCCATATGGGTCCTGGACGGGTCCTGGACGGGTCTTCGACGGGTCTTTGATGGGTCCATCATTCTAGCTTGCCGGTCCGTTAGAATTTAGAACGCCGCGGCGTAGAATACCGAAATACCAGAATACCAGAATTTCGCTGGAGTAGCACGATAAATCTTGACCACTCGATATTCGGGACCCATTACATCAAATGACAGCAAACATCGAATCCAACAACACGTCGATTGGTGATTCAGAAGCTCGTCGACGTAATACAATGGGTTGACCCATGGCTGAGGAGACGACAGATAATAAGCAAGGCTCTGAGGTTGAGCAACGTGATGGATGTCTCTAGCTATACGCTATGGGACATGTACGACGTTTCCCAACTATGGGAAACTGTGGGAAACTATGGGAAATCATGGGAAAGGAAAAGTGCTTTGTACGAGTGGCTGTTTCAAGAATTCTTCACTTAGAAAGCAGGTCATCTCCTTCCGTATACCTCGTCCCACGCCGGGGCACGAGGCTTGTATACGGATAGTACCTCTGGCCTGATCTATCGTGAAGAAGTCACTTCGAGAATACAGATCTTGAAATATGTTTGGATCAAACGTACGAGTCAAATATCGTAGAAAGCTAGGATTGCCTAGTGTGCCTAGGCGGGATGGACGCGGGAGCAAGGCTTCACTGCATTAGTGGCTTACCATCGCGTCGTTATGGCAGCGAAGAGACAAGTTGGAAGGGTGTATCGGAACTCGGGGAATCCGTCGAAGCTAAAGCCAAGAGGTACATACATACCTAGTAGAAGACGATGGTAAATATGGAGAAACATCCGTACTCTACCCCCAGCCTCTTGACTCCTAGCCCCCGTAGTCCCGTAGTGCCATAGTCCCGCGTAAACCGGACCTTGGTGCTTGGGAGATGTTATTGCAAGGGGCGTACAAGTGCCGTTCGCTGAGAAACCGTCGGCGAATTACTGGATCCAAAGAGGTCCTAGGAGGCTAGACTCGCTTGACCTTGGCTCTTAAGGTGAACGAATAACCACGTGCCCGTAAAAAAAAAAAAAATTAAATTTAAAAAATAAGAAATAAGAAGGAAAAAATAACTTCAACGACGGAGCTGTCTGAATTAGTGCTTCTTACTCCTCAGAACTAGTGAATTAGTCAGACGACATTTTTCTTTCATTCCTCTTCTCCATGCCTACCTAGGTACCTAGGCATTCTCTCCTCATGCCCCTCATGCTCCTCACGATCTCTTCAAGTCTCTCCACGTCTCCCCATCTTCTCCGCCTAACTTAGATGACCCAAACGACTTAATCCTTATGAGGTCTTAAGACCCGAGAGCTGAGTAGAATAAGGCCGAAGAAAGGTCAGTTCAAGATGTCATATTTTTGGACTTCTGGAAACTTGTCTGTGGGTTTTGAGTGATATGATAATGATGTTATGAGTTACATAACGGTTAATAATACGTGCTAACTCTAGGAGATTCCTAAATAGTAAGCAGTGACGAAAAGAGATGTATGAGGCAGTTTCTGATGTTGTTGGCCGTGTTAGATGATGTATGATAGCCAAGTTTTCTGACGTCAAACATGATAGTTGATGCAACGCTTCCTCTCAGCTGGAATTTGTCGTCGTTAGAGATTGATATCGGTGTGGGCTGGTGGAGTTTAATGGATTCCCCGTAAGTATGGCATAGTCCGCGAAGAAAGGAAAAAAAACACGATCGAACTGATGACGACGGCGACTTCGCGCGTCATTCGTAATTCTAGAGTTCCACATTGGCAATTCTTTAGTGGTTAGAGACGCCCAAAGCCCTGCCTCGGTCAAGCGGTCTAGGCCTAGACTGAGTGCTATACTGGTAGATAAGTCGTAGTAGGGGGGTTAGGCATAAAGGTATCGGTCCGATAGTTGCTTCGAATCCGGTACCAACACTCGATAGCGGATGGTGTTTTTTATTATTCCAGATCGTACCTCTTAGCTAAAATCACTGAATTGATTATCTATACTAGCAGACAATGAGTTCCTCGAGAGGAGAGAGAGGATGTACGATTATAAAAATGAGATAGCATGAATGGTCTTGCGTGAGGTGAGAGTAACGAGAAGAATAAGAAAAGGGAGAAAATGAAAATTGAGGTTTTATCTGCACGTGTTGACGTAATTTAGTGCATCATTTAGGCAAATTATAGTGGATTACTAGCACTAGCGCCCGAACCTAAGCAATTCCTATCTAAGCCGGACCGGTACTTTTTCCCCCTAGTGGATACTAAGTAGGGACCTAGATAGTCCCCTGAATTATCCTACTGCAGTGTACTATAGTACATAGCTACAGCGCAAGGAATAATTAATCGCTAGAAAAAAAAAAGTTATCACCTATCATCGTCCAACCAATGTCCGGTTTTCCTAGACCTACGCTACCCGCCATCCGCCATTCTCCATCCGCTATTCGGCTTCCAACTCACAACAACCCACACCCACAATTCCACAATCCACCCAACATTCGATGAAGCTCGACGAGTTCGCTTCACATGCCACGCGACCCTGGTTAAGGAACCAGTAACGATGGCAAAGGGTCTAGGCAAACAGCCACCACAGGCTAACCCTTCTCCAATTCCCCCAATTCCTCCCCCCCAAGCTTCCCCAACTACCCCGAAGCAAGGTTCAGCAGTTCGCGGAGCATCCCTGCTCATCATCCTCCAGATCGCGTCGCGAGCCGTCACCTTCGTCGCCAACCAATTGCTTCTCCGTTTCCTCACCGCCCAGCTCCTAGGTGTGTCGACACAGCTCGAAGTATACTATCTCTCGGTCCTGTTCTTCGCCCGCGAAAGCTTGCGCGTAGCCATCCAGCGACAGGACAGCCCGTCCACTCCCACCGAATCCAATGCGAACGACACCAAGACCAAGACCAACTCCGCAGACGCGAGAGACAACCAGTCCGTGATTAACATCGCCCATCTATCCCTACTTCTAGGCTTGGGAGCTTCGGTTGGACTAGGCTGGGCCTATCTGCGCTATGTAGACGCTTCGACGGCCGCGACGCCGTACCTCGACGTCGCACTTCGCATCTATAGCGTAGCAGCCATCGTGGAGTTGCTTTCCGAGCCCGCGTTCGTGATCCTACAATACCGACTACGTTTCGGGCCTCGAGCTGCCGCCGAATCGATCGCGACTTTTCTACGATGTGTGGTAACCTTCGGAGCCGCCAATTGGGCGTGGAGGCAGGGCTTGGAAATCGGCGTCTTGCCGTTCGCTCTTGGGCAGCTGGCCTATAGCTTCGGCCTCCTTGCTGTGTATATGTGGTATGGGACCCAATTGGCGTCTGCTGAAGGCTTCTCTCTCTTATTGAAGAGGAGCGCTCCATTGGCGCAGAAGGGCAGTAAGATGGACGAGATGGATGCAAATTACGTGCTTGGGTACTTTTTCAAGCCTACTTTGCAGCTCGCGTCTAGCCTGACGGCGCAATCATTCGTGAAGCATATCCTCACTCAAGGCGACACGTTTCTCGTCTCTGTCTTATCCGATCCTGGTTCGCAGGGCATCTACGCCCTTGCCAACAACTACGGGGGATTACTTGCGCGCTTGGTCTTCCAGCCCGTTGAAGAGAGTAGTCGGAATTACTTTAGCAAATTGCTTTCCTCCGCCAAGGGGTCGCCAGATAAGCAGGCCGTCAATAAGGCTAAGTCGGATCTCCAGGCTCTACTGAAGTTTTACCTTCTTCTGGGTATCTGTGTCGTCACGGTGGGCCCCTTTGCAGCGCCTCTGCTGATCCAGATCGTCGCGGGAGCTAAGTGGTCCGCCAGCGGAGCCGGAGCCGTACTTGCGCGGTACTGTCTATACATCCCTCTTCTAGCTATCAACGGCGTCGCAGAAGCATTCGTCTCATCTGTTGCCACAGAATCCGAGGTTCATCGACAGAGTCTATGGATGGGAGCTTTCAGCTTAGCTTTTGGCGTTGCTGGGTTTGTTTCTTTGCGGGTCCTAGACTTAGGCGCTGCTGGCCTCGTATATGCGAATTGCATTAATATGCTGTGCCGTATTGTTTGGAGTGGGACCTTCATCTCGCAGTACTTCAGGAGTAACGGGTCTGATTTTGGCTGGAATAGCGTCCTTCCGGATGGCTTGGCGCTATCGACACTGGCTACTGCGGTTTTCTGGGCTTCTCTGACGAGAGCCGGTTTCTCCGTTGGCACTATATCAACACACGTTTTTAAAGATCTAATTACGGTTGCAATCGGAGCTGTGCCCTTTGCGACGGTCATGTAAGTTCCCCTAACTCCTTTTCTATCTCTATTCATCTACATGGCTTAACGTAAAACCTAGCGCATATACTGAACGCAAATACCTGCTGAGTTGCTATCACTCCCTCCGCGGCCGTAGCAAAGCGGTAGGGTAATGCCAGACTAAACGTCAATAGTCTGCTTGTTCTATAGAAAGCAGTTCGCCATGCTAGTTCGCTACGCTTTAGTACCATTAATCATCAAACGTGATCTTCGTGCCCTTTTGCGTCATGTCGACATCCTTGAAGAACGCGCCGTAAGTGCCGTGAGCCTTCTTCTTGACGGTGGTTCCAAACTTGAGAAGATCCTCAGGTACCGGTTGTTCGGCTTGCTTGAGGATATTGATCAACCTAGATAATACGCATTAGTGTGGATTCAAGAAGTAGAGGGCTCGGTGAGTTCTTGTTAAACTTACTCTCCAGAGTGTGCCTTGTCGTGCTCAGTAAAGAGCGTGATAGCCAGACCGGTTTTACCTGCTCGTCCTGTACGACCAATACGATGAACGTAATCTTCGATGGTGAGAGGGAACTATACATCATTGGTTAGCATGCTGTAGTCTAGTAGGCATCAGGTTATATTAAACTGATAAATAGAAAACTTCCAACTTACAGTGAGATTGATCACAAGCTTGACCTCGGGAATGTCCAGACCTCGCGCTGCAACATCCGTGGCAACTAGAACTGGTGTCTGTCCTGTCTTAAACGCCTCGAGACTGCGAGTTCTCTGCTCTTGTCTAAGATCACCGTGAATGCCGACCACCTTGATGCCGCGCTGCTGTAAGAAACCTTCGACCCGAGTAGCCTCCTTTTTATACAAGCAAAAGACCAGGACTCGCTCATTTTTGGGCTGAGCCTTCAACAGCTGCAGCAAACGAGTTTCCTTGCCCCGAGGATCCACAACCTCGACACGCTGCTCAATTCTCGCGTTCGCCTGCAAGTCGCCACTCTCGTTTCCGCCTATCTGGATCTTGACCGGCGACACCATGAATGTGGATGCGAGCGCCTGTACACTCTGCGGCCATGTCGCTGTGAACATGAGGGTTTGGCGCTCCTCCTTCTTAGGCGTGCACCCGATGATTCTCTTGATATCATCTTCGAATCCCTTATCCAACATACGGTCAGCCTCGTCTAGCACCACAAATCTAGCCTCTTCTAACTTGATGGCGCCCTCTTCCAAGAAGTCCTTCAGTCGGCCAGGGGTCGCAACAATGACATCCGCCTTCCTCAGCAGGAATCTCTGTTCGTCTTTGGGCGCGCCACCATATACGCAGACGGTCTTTAAGCCAACAAGCTCTCCGAGATTGGTCAACTGTTCGTTGGTTTGCATTGCTAATTCTCGGGTAGGCGATACAACAACCGCTCGTATCCTGCCAGCCCCTTTAGACTTGGGCATTCCAAGGACAGAAGAGATAAGAGGTAGACCAAAAGCAATGGTCTTTCCAGAACCAGTCTCCGCTACACCAACAATATCGCGACCTGACAAACCGAAAGGCCATGATGCGGCTTGGATGGGTGTTGGGGCCTTGAAGGAAGCGAAGGGGTTCTTATCGACAATGGCAGAAGATGGTAGATGGGAGAACTCCATTATGGGCCGGAGAGGGTCAGATGAAAGAGGATCGTTGACGGTGATCTGATGCTTGTCCAAGAAGGCCGTGATATCAGCTTCGGGTAAGGCAGAAAGCGCGGATGTCGTTGAACCGTTGACAGTACCATTTGTGTTGCCATTAGTCCCATTAACTGTGCCGCTTGTATTTGTATCTTCTGTCTTGCGCTTCTTCTTGTCTTTCTTGTCTTTCTTCTCCTTCCTTTCCTTCTTCGATTTACGATCCGTATCTACTTCGTCGCGAGAAGGCGCTTCGCTGATCACTTCGGGGGTGTCTTTCTTTTCATCCTCCTCACCATTTAACTCGCCCTCAGGAGCTTGTTCACCCTTTAATTCAGCCTCAATCTTCATGGCCTTCTTCTTGTCTTTCTTGTCTTTTTTATCTTTCTTGTCCTTTTTCTTCGTCTTAACCTCGCCGTCGACTTCTGATACCGTTGCCTCGAGGGTTGAATCTGCTGGAGTCGAAGAAGCCGATTCTAGATCTCTTAGCTTTTCCTTGCGATCCTTCTTGTCCTTCTTATCTTTCTTCTCCTTCTTGGACTTCTTGCGCGGGAGAGTCGCGGCCTCCACTTCCTCGGCGTCTTCAAGGCGATGCTTCGACATGTTTGCGGGAACCTGCGAGCTTACTGAAGTAGAATGTTGTCCTTAGTTCTATTTCCAAACTAAAAGAGAGGAGATTGAAGTGTTGCAGTCCTGGTGCGCAAGAATTGGCCCTTGAAAAGACGCCGTTACCTATGCGAGTACAGTTGTAAGCGCAAAAACAAAAAAAACCAATTCGAAAAAAAAGACTTGACCTAGAACTTTGGGACGCTGTCCTAGATAAGATAAGGATAAGCGGACCCCACTAACGATAAGACTTAATGTGGCTTACCTTCCCTGCCTTTCCTAGCACAAGATTAATGTGGCGTCAATTCGTCCTCTTGATCATGGTTCCTACAATGCAATTCCCTCTCTTTTCGGCACAATCTATGTGGCAATTACATACGTAGTACTATGCATTTCCATCAAACACTCCGAGTTCGGTATCAATTAGTCAATGAGTAGATGAGGCAAGATGAAGTTAATGGTAATAAATGGTTTATGGTAATTAGTCACTTTGGTAATCGGGTTCACTGAGTACTGTGATAGATATTGCGACTCAAGTCGGTTTTACAATTTTATTGCCTAAACCAGGACGATGGTACCTCCCATGGATCTCTTTAATGAGCGGTTGAACAGCATTATTAGTCCAAGAACTCGGTTGACGATGAGATGAGAAGTCCATCCCGCACAACTCCAATCGTACCTAAAATACAACATCCCTTAACTGAAAACAGTGGCCACTTGGGCAGATAAGACTCGCGTCGATCTGTTCGCTTAATCCTTACTGCCATTTCTTTCCTTTCTTCCATTTCTGCGTGAGCCGATCGCACCATCACCTAAACTGCAACTTTTCCGCCCTTATTGATTGTACCCAGACTCCATATCCCATGCATGTTAACGAATGACTTAGTCATAAATCCGACGCGGAGATGGAGTTTCTGTTTCAAGCCGCTGCCGCCGCCACAGCCTCCCCGATATTGGGTAACTTTGCCCCAGTACCAGCAAGGTTTGTCGGCTTAGCATGAGGATTCTTGCTATAGTAGTTAGATATAGCGGACTTGATGGCATCCTCGGCTAACATAGAGCAGTGCACTACATAAGATATCAGTATTTATCTCCGTTTTAATTCGAAATATAAAAAAATTTGTATATTTATGGAACATATTCATCTAAGATAGGCAAGGGTGGGTGATATAACTTACGCTTGACGGGCGGTAAGCAAAGCTCCTTAGCGATTTCGGTATTCTTAATTCGGCCAGCCTCTTCTAAAGTCATTCCCCTTACAAGCTCGGTTAAATAACTCGAGCTCGCGATAGCACTGCCGCAGCCAAAAGTCTTGAACTTGACGTCGGCGATGGTGTTGTCTTTCGGATCAACTCTGATCTGCAGCTTCATGACATCGCCGCAAGCCGGAGCGCCTACTAGGCCAGTACCAACATCAACGTCCGTCTTCAGCATAGAGCCAACGTTGCGCGGTCGGCTATAATGGTCGAGAACCTTCTCATGGTATGATCGGCGGATGATGTTGGCGGCTGGGCTGAGTGTCTGGCGTGTGGCGATACGAGGGGTGGCCGATGCGATCGCTCGACGAGCAGTATTTGCGAGTGTTCGCGACAACATTTTTGATGGTTATGTGGGTTTGGTGTCCGATATGCGATTTGGATGATATTGAGACCCGAGTGATTTATTAATGGTCGAGAGGGATGGAAATATCGTAGGTTTGTTTGTTTGATGGCTAGCGAAATCAGTGATGACGATTGAGGGGGGAGATATGTGACGGAAGAGATGGAAACTGAGGAAGTTTGTAGGATAAGTCTAGAGTTATTATTCGGAGATGATGACAAAAGCCCAAAAAAGTTGATGGCGGTCTTTGTCGGCGATCTCGGTAGTAAAATGGATCTGGGGTTAGTGTGGCGAATCATAGCCATTCAAATTTGCGATGAAATCATAATCCTCGGAGATGGTACATGCACTGTGAAGAGGGGTTGGTCATAGGGAGAAATACAGTGTGTGCTCCATGCTGATTGTAAGGCATTTTATCTAGTAAGCACTGTATTTTGGAGGGATATCCCCACCTTTCGCCTAGAGCTTCTTATCAGATCCTTTCAGCAACTTCCAAAATCGATTACGCTCCGAGTCCGACAAAAGTTTCGACCGAACCCTCTAGGTATGACTGCTGCTAGCCAGCCCAAACCAGCTGGTAGCAGGTCTAACGCTACTAGGTAGTACCTAGTAAAGTACATAGTAAGTATGTACTATGAGGGGATAGGTACACGATACGCGTCACTAGCACAACGTGGGGCAAATAGGTCCCCTTTAGCTAGGTACCTACTGCTTACCACCTAAGGCTTTCGGATTTTATGGAATTCGATGTTTAGCACGAAGTTGTGTGCCCTTAACGGATTGATCTAATGTACTAGGTACAATGTACATGTACCTATACCCCTCCATGAGCCTTGCGCCTCATGTCCTGGATGAAGCTTCCTCAATATTGTAGGTAGCTCCTACACCTACACCTACAACAATTAGCAGCCTAGGTAGTTGCGTTCTGGTGGTTACCTAGTTGCCTGCTTGCCTGAAGGATGTTTTAGATCTTAGTAACAAATAAACGGTCAAAGAGTTTGGTCTGTGGCATAATCAAACTCAATCTTTAAAACTTCCTTGAACCTTGTCACTCTTAACTTTCGTAATTCATTCCCATCTTCTTTCACCAACGTCCTCGTCCGTACTATCTTCCAACTTCACCCGTTTATCTTCTCTCAAAATGGCATGTCCACACCTTGATTCCATCTGTAAGTTGGTTTTGGGCGAGGGAGAGTTGTAATATCTCGTCTGTTTCTATAGCTTACATTTCCGTGACGTATTGCAGCCTTGAGTCCTCCGACGCCAGCTCAGTCGGTCTATCGTGAAGACTGCACCCAGTGTTTCGATTCTATTGTAAGTTCTCTTATAGAGAGATCGTGGTGGAACGGTGGCACTCGACACCCTAGCCCTACTTCTACTAGCCCATGCTTATATAGTACACACAGGATGAGCCTCAAGGTCTCGATGTTTGCCTACAATGTTTCAATGGAGGCTGTCTGGGTGTGAGAGCTCATTCGCAGCTTCACCATGTTACCAGTAGTCACCCTCTTGCTCTTAACATTCGTCGAACTCGAAAGCGAGTCGTTAAAGATGAACCTCCCGCGAAGATGACCAAGCTAGCGATCGCCGCCGAGACCGAAGCCGACCGCTATGATATCACAACCACCGTTAGATGCCTCGAGTGCTCTACGGAGCTCGACAAGACTAGCCCTAAGTTAGCACCCATCGTCGACAGTGTCCTTAAAGCGAATACATTCTCGCGAAAAGAAGAGGTCAAAGCCTGGGAACAAGAGCTTACTTCTTGCGAGCATATCCTTCTACTGCAACAACACGAAAGCCGAATACTTCAAAGCGATTTAGGCCACTGTTCTAAGTGTGAACTCAAGGAGAATCTGTGGTTATGTCTAGAATGCGGTAACTTGGGCTGCGGTCGAGCTCAGTTCGGTGGTGTAGGAGGCAACTCTCACGGCTTAGCACACGCTACTGAGTCGAAGCATGCGGTTGCTGTCAAGCTGGGATCCATCAGTCCGGAGGGCACCGCAGATGTATACTGTTACCAATGCGATGAAGAGCGCGTGGATGGCGACCTCGCAACTCACCTAGCACATTGGGGTATCATACTCTCCAACCAGGTGAAGACGGAGAAGAGCTTGACCGAGATGCAGATCGAGCAGAATCTACGATGGGAATTCTCTATGACTACAGAAGACGGAAAGGAACTTAAGCCGTTATTCGGACCCGGCTTGACAGGATTAAAGAATCTGGGAAACAGCTGCTATCTCGCTAGTATACTACAGTGTTTATTCGATCTTCCCGCTTTCCAGACACGGTACAATATACCCGAGGTTGACCTACCCATCGTGTCCGACCCGGCTCAGGATCTAGAAACACAACTTCGCAAGCTAGGGGATGGCTTATTATCAGGCCGTTATTCTAAGTCGGACACCGATGTTGTGGCGTCCGAGAATTCACCAGAGATCCCTCATCAGAAAGGGCTATCGCCTAGCATGCTGAAGCACCTCATCGGCCGGGGTCACGACGAGTTCTCGACGATGCGCCAACAGGATGCCTTTGAACTTCTACAACATCTTGTCAAACTCATTACTAGATCACAACACCCTGCTCCTCTCTCTGACCCTACTCAGCCTTTCAGATTCGCGCTCGAGCAACGGCTGCAATGCCTAAGTTGCAAGAAAGTACGATATACAACCAATGAGCAGGACAGTATCTTCATCGATGTACCCATAGAAAAAATACCGGCTGCAGAGGGTGAAGGGATTCGCTACAAGCCAGTTTCGCTCAAAGAATGTCTTGACAACTTCACGGCTCAAGAGGCGGTAGAGTTAACGTGTGCGTCATGCGGAAGCAAGGATGGGTTCACAAAGCGATCCCTATTCAAGACCTTCCCAACTACACTTATAGTCAACGCGCGAAAGATGACGGTGGAGAATTGGGTCCCTCGCAAGGTTGACGTTCCTGTCTTGGTGGGGGATGAGCCGTTCCCTCTCGACGAGTACCTCTCGTCCGGACTCCAGTCGTCCGAAGAGCCGCTACCTGAAGAGGAAGCTGCCGCTGCCCCGGCATTTGTTCCCAACGAGGCTGCGCTAGAAGGATTGATGGCAATGGGATTTCCTCGCCCCCGCTGCGAGAAGGCCCTGCACGCAACCGGCAACTCAGACGCCAACTCGGCTATGGAGTGGTTATTCGGTCATATGGAGGACCCCGACATCGACGAGCCTCTAGTTATTTCATCAGCCGCCCAGGGAGGTAGTGCCGCGGCGGATCCCGAAAAAATCGAAATGCTTGGCGCTATGGGATTCGGTGCACCGCAAGCTCGCAAAGCTCTGAAGGAGACCAACGGAGACGTCGAACGTGCCGTTGAATGGTTATTTAGCCATCCGGACGAGCAAGGCGATTTTGGCGAGGAGGCTGGTTCGTCTACGGGAGAGAAGAAAGAGGCTACTCCCGCAGGTAGCGCAGATTTACCAGCCAAATTCCAGCTGCAGAGTATCGTATGTCACAAGGGCACCAGTATTCACACAGGGTACGTCGTATATTTCATTCCGAAATAATAGTAAGATTTAGTACTGACACTAAGGCAGACATTATGTGGCATTTATTCGCAAACTGTTGGATACTACATCGCCCAAGTGGGTACTTTTCAACGACGAGAAGGTGGTCGAAGCAGGCGATGTAGAAGAGATGAAGAAGACGGCTTACGTCTACTTCTTCAACCGTATAAACTGATTGGGAGCAACGGAGTCTAGTGAACAGACGGGTAGGCGGGGACAAATCGGTGTATATGGCAGTAGGTAGTTAGAGGCCCCTTCATAGAAACCCAAGGATTGAGGGATGACGCATCATGACTTTCGAAGAAGCACAGGAATTTTTTTAAAAAAAAACGAAATAAAGACATAGACAGTTGGTGGGATGCTCAGTAGTTGACCGAGATAGACATGGGTACCTATTCATGTCGTAGATTACCCAAGCTTAGTCCTGTTATGTATTAGATCATAAGTGACCTACTTATCATAGGTAGATTCTTAAGGGAGGGTAACAATGACCTTAGTATGCGTGATAAATATAAATACAATATAATCATGTGTAGTCCGGCCGGCAAAACAAAGCGTGAAAACCCCAAGAACGCCTGTTAGGTTTACCTCGTATTCATCCATCATATTCCGTCTAGGTTATCCAGCTTCATCTCCGATTTAAACAGCAGCCGTATCCATGGATGATAACAATAACAAGCCGTATAGACGGTAGAGTTCTTACTCCCCTAATCTATAGCTAACCAGCGTTTCGACGCGGTGACTCGTGGTGCTGAACCCTCGCAACTGCACCCTCTCGCCGTTGACGATCTCCTTGGCGTCGCTGTCTCCCCACTCGACGGGCACGTCGCTGTCCGCGTCGGCGTACACCAAGACGTTGAAGGTGCAATCGCCAGCAAGCTGGGGTAGAAAAGTGACGGAGGCTGTGATCTGGCGGAAGAGCGCGGCGATCTCGGCTTGGATCTCGGCCTCGGTCTTGGAAGGGTCCGGGGACGCCGTGTTGGACGCGGACGGGGGAGCGTCGTTCTCGGCGCTGTTAGCGGCGGAAGAGGAGGATTTAGACTTTTTGGACTTGGAAGGGGCGTTGAAGATGTGGACGTCGAATTGCCAGCGCTCGACGTGTTCGCCTGTGTCTTTGTCCGTGATGACGATGACGAGCTTGCTGATCTTGCCGCGCTGCATCCATTTGTCTAGCTGCGACATTATCTTCTTGATGTACGCTTTGACTTGGTCGTCCGCGGAAACTAGCATGTTTAGGCCATATTTCTTTACGCTGGGGAGTCGTTAGTTATATTGGGTTTGGGGGCTGGTAGGGTCGAGGTTAGCTGCGTACGCTGTGAAGTCTTCGGCAGGGTAGACGCCTCTTTGGAATCTAAATTAATAGTTAGTTGAGTCGTCCGGTGTAGGGATAAGTTAGAGCCACATACAAGATGGTATGAATCGAGTATTGGAACTACACGACGGTTTAATTAGCTTGAGGAAGAGAACAACAGTTGGTGTCGGGTAAACATACGAACTCGGCCACAAGCTTTGCACTCCCCTTGATGGCGAGCTTGTGGACTTTTGATTTATCCTTTTCTGCGGATTTAGAAGACATAGTGTGTGATAGAGCGTAAGTTGTGGATTGGTTTCTTGGTTTCTTGGTTCTTCTACTTCGAAGCTTTGAGCATAGAATAAAATACTTGTCAAGATTTGTTTACTTGCGACATAGAAAGTTTGGCGGGGTGATGGGGTGATGGATCATTTAACTTTACCGGTTGCTCTATAACTGGATCGATAAACAATCGATAAGATAACCCCCCCCCTTGTAGCTCGGTGCCCCACATAACCGGAATACCTAGATGAAAATGAAAATGAAAATGGAAATTTCGTCAAACTCGACCAAATTGCGAATAGCTTCAAATGCCGTCTTCTATGTCACAATCTTAAACTCGACAAGACCCAATTCGTATGGATGGGAGGCAGATTAGGCCTGAAATTGGCACCTGTTCTCATGCGATCATGTCTACGGCCGACCTTCCTACGCACAGCTCATAGTGGAAGCTATAGCTTGCGTCAAATATGGCCTTCTCTCTGCCCGAAGCTTCCGTTGACAGACGCTGTATCGCTTGTCTCCAGAAGGTATAGCAGCACAAAGTCTACAGCGAAGGGAGCAGTCAGTGATCTTGAACGTCGCATCGCCGCGATCCCCATCGAACGGTTTCGCAACTTTTGCATCGTGGCGCACATCGACCATGGCAAATCTACGTTGTCGGATCGTTTATTGGAAATTACTGGCACAATATCTTCGTCTGATTCGAACCGTCAGATCCTTGATACTCTCGAGGTCGAACGCGAGCGCGGAATTACGGTCAAGGCTCAGACTTGTACTATGATTTATAATCACAATGGACTCGATTACCTGTTACATCTCGTCGATACTCCTGGTCATGTCGATTTCCGTGCCGAAGTCACGAGGTCATATGCTAGTTGCGGAGGAGCTCTACTGCTTGTAGATGCCAGCCAAGGCATTCAGGCCCAGACCGTCGCCAATTTCTATCTCGCCTTCGCCGAGGGCCTAAAGATCATACCTGTTGTAAATAAGATAGATATGATGGCCGCTGACGTGCCGAGGGTTCTCGAACAGCTTGAAACTACATTGGAGCTAGATTCCAGCAAGGCCATCGGCGTAAGCGCGAAGACTGGCCTGAATGTTAAGGAGTTGCTGCCAGTCGTAGTAGAGAATATCCCGGCGCCGATGGGCGATGAATCGAAGCCGCTGAGGATGCTTCTAGTGGATTCGTGGTATGATAGCTTCCGTGGCGTTGTCTGTCTAGTTCGGATCTTCGATGGGACTGTGAAGGCTGGCGATAACATCATCAGCTTTGCTACCGACAATAAGTATACCGTCGGGGAGGTCGGTATTCGATATCCTACACAGGTTCCTCAAACGATCCTACGCGCCGGTCAGGTCGGTTATGTTATCTTTAACCCGGGGATGAAGAAAATCCAAGATGCCAAGATTGGTGATACTTTTACCACCGTCGGTTCTGAAAACGTCGTCGAGCCATATCCAGGTTTCGAGGAGCCTAAACCTATGGTCTTCGTCGCCGCCTTCCCTACGGATCCAGGAGATTATAGTCGTCTGGCGGACAGCATCGGTCAGCTCGTCCTCAATGACCGTAGCGTCACTCTCTTCAAAGATCACTCCGAAGCCTTAGGTGCCGGCTGGCGGTTGGGCTTCCTTGGCAGTCTTCACTGTTCCGTCTTCCAAGACCGTCTGCGTCAGGAACATGGTGCAAGCATCATCATCACCGAACCTGCCGTTCAGACTAAGGTCGTATGGCAAGACGGCACTGAGTCTGTCCTCCAGAGCCCCGCTGACTTTCCAGAAATGGAGGAGGGACGTTCCCGCGGTGCCACCTACTATGAACCCTACGTACTAGCTACCATGACACTCCCACAGGAGTACTTAGGCCGGGCCATCGAACTATGCGAAGCTGGTCGTGGCGAGCAAGACAGTATCGAGTTCTTCCACGGCTCGCAAGTTATTCTCAAATATCGGATTCCCACTGCCCAGTTAGTAGATGACCTATTTGGTAAGCTCAAGGGTGCGACCAAGGGTTATGCTACACTGGACTACGAGGATGCTGGATGGCGTGAGAGTAAGCTAGTTAAGCTGCAGCTGCTGGTCAACAAAATGCCCGTTGATGCCATATCGAGAGTCGTACATCTATCGCAGGTAGAGCGGCTAGGCCGGCAATGGGTGACCAAGTTCAAGGAGCATGTGCAGCGACAGATGTTCGAAGTCGTAATCCAGGCTGCCGTCGGCAAGAAGATCGTTGCCCGTGAAACTCTGAAAGCCTTCCGCAAGGACGTGCTCGCCAAACTTCACGCTAGCGATATCACGCGACGGCATAAACTCCTCGAGAAGCAGAAGGAGGGTCGCAAGAAGCTTAGAGCTGTGGGAAATGTTGTCATCGAACAGGAGGCTTTCCAGAAGTTCTTGGCGAAATAAACGATCTCTCGGTGGACGTGTACATGATGATGTAGATATATGTAACCGTGTCAAAATACCCAATCCGAAATTGCGATCATTACTAATTTGGATTGATGATTCCTTACTTTTAAGACGAGATAGTTTACAAGACGCCATAGGACATCACGAAGTTGCTTGACACCGGATTATCCCGAGTCACGGAACTCTCCATGCACATTCGCCCGGTCGAATATCTCGACTAGGTTTCCTCTATCTCGAGGATTTTCTCCAGTGTCAACGAAGGTTATCCTCCCAATCGTTGGCGGTCATGTTGCCTAGTTCCGCTTATCATCCAATCGTTTAACCTGGATTCTAGAGAAAAGAAAAATCTACTAAATCGTAGTAGACCTCGTTGGAGAGGCAGTACCCAACTAATGTGCTTCTTGATGGATGGTCTTTGTTGTCTGGGTCGGGTCCCTTTTCGCAGCCGAACCGCCGATAGAACAGCCGGCCGTCCTCGCGATAAAAGCGTAGGGGGCGTTGTGGTCCTTCGACAATGTCTTCGAACTCGCGGACATTGCAGACTCTTGAATAACGCGAACAGCAAAAGGAATCGATTACAAACTTCCTTCAATCCTCTACAACTTTTCTAACTTTAACGTCCGGATCTTTTACCTAGGTACCTATACCTAGATAGTTTGTCAAGTATCTAGAACCATCTCCAGCATGTTGGCGTTTTAGATTGGCTCCTATTAGGACGTGTGTGTTGAGTTTTTGGATTAGAAAAGGAGATGAATATTGTCGTGAACGTACCGTGCCACCTCATGACTACCTAATACCTAGTTCTTTTATAAGCTCGTCAATCCTCCGTACCTAGGTATAATTGGAACCCCGTTATACATTCTTCGCACTATCAATCCGAATTAGGGAATCATAGAACACGTGCCAATGGCATGTAATCTGCTGGCGCAACTTCATGGTGACAATGGAAACATGCTTCCCCAATAGAGGTAATCGAAGGCGAAGGAGAGCTCGTATTCCTTTTACCGATTTAGACATCCATAGGTAATCTGTCTTCGTTGGCGTCCGTGACGGGCATGATGCCGAGAATGAATGTATAAAAGAAGAGTGTCGATCGCTACCCATCGATTAAATCCTCCTACTGCATTTATCAAAGCCGACTTCTTTCGATCGTTAAAACATACCTATCATTATAATCGCCATCCGCAATGATGCTCTCAAATATCATGTGGAAATACGCCTTCCTCGCTATCTCGGCGCCCCTCACATCTGCAAGCCATCTATCAGGTCGCCAGCAAAGCCCTTACCCACCATCAACTTTCTCTAAAGGCTTCAAGCTCATCGCCAACGTCACAGATCGCGCCCACGATCTCTCTCCATCGATCCACGGCTGGGCTCTACAAGGCGCGCACATCGGCGCGGACCTCAACTCCGCCGTCCTAAACAACACAACGCCGGGAACCATCTTCTACCAAAACGGCACCGCGAACGAAATCTACCATCAAACATCCAACATCCTCACGGACTCCAGCACTCCTCTCGCGCCCTACGGCCTAATAATGCGGTACCCGAACGAAACCTCCGACGTCGTAGCCTTAGGAATCAACGGCGGCAGCGGCACGCCCGGCATTACGCTAACGAACCCGCCATACCCCATGACCGAGCTGTCGGCGCCAGCGAGCCAGTTCGTCGCTTGCAAAGAGAAAATCCCGTACTACCCCCCAGGCTGGGAGTTTGTGCTGGTTAGAGCGTTTAGGGATGGGTACCAAGTGCCGGCGAACTGCGCGGTGGTGGACTTTCTACCGCAGTGTGCCGAGTTGCCCGATTTGCCGCCAGGGAGCTACTCGACACACGAGTTTGCGAATCTCGCGAGGTGTTTTGAGGATCCTGCTGGCATTGACTGGTCTAAGTACCCGGAAGTTAGGTAGATAAAGGTCTTACATCGGAGGGGGGGTTGAGTTGATGAGTAGGGGTGTAAGAACTAGCGCCCTAGTGATCTGTCCATGACTTGCGGCTATACATATGTGGCTGTCAATGCTAGAAGATCATTCGACTATTTTATAGTTATTATTCCCGCCAATCGAATATTGCAGATTACTCAATTTCAAGTTGCCTTCCCCACATGCCATCAAGGTCCGATTAATCCCCTGTGTTTATCTCACCATCAAGGTTCCCTCAATGGGAGCTTTGAAATACTACCTTTATGATAGGTACGACCGAGACATGCTTCTGCAACAGAGACGTATGTGTTGATTGCGAATTTCTAAGGGGTGTTCAAGTACCATAGATAATTCAGAAGTACCGGAGATATCTCACGACGTGGGGATGTTGCAGAAAGCCAACAAGGTCTTCGGGTAAATCGTCCCATGGATATCCCAAGTGGTGATGAGGGTTCGACTATGGCCGGTTCATTGGCCAATAGATGCAGTGATAATTATAAGCTTTTACCCTGGCCCTCTTCGACCTCAATAGGGGAACAACATATCGTATAAACTTGCCCTGCCCCCCGTAGACGTGTATGATAAAGACGAATGTCAGACGTACCCTAAAAAGAAACTTTTAGACCTGTTACTCCTACCCCTCCTCTGAAAGGGCTTCTAGTTTGGATTCCCATTTGAAACCAACATCATGGCCCCTGCGCTCCTTATCGATGACCGAGAGAAGTCTCAAGGACGAGGACGTCTCCCTGTCACGCTCCTCAGCGGTTTTCTTGGCTCTGGCAAGACGACTCTATTAGAGAATATCCTGACCTCCCCAGACCATGGCCTCCGAATAGGTGTCATAGTCAACGATGTTGGCGCTTTGAACATCGACGCAGCCCTCCTAACCTCCCACGATGTGACACGGAAGGAGGAACAGGTAGTAGCCATGCAGAACGGTTGTATATGTTGTACTCTGAGAGGTGATCTGCTCGAAGAGGTCGCTAGGTTGGCTGAGGAGAAGCAGGTCGAGTATCTCGTCATCGAAAGCTCCGGAGTTAGCGAACCGATGCAAGTCGCGGAAACTTTCTCGGAGGAGTAAGTACTAGCACTGCTTCTAACACTTAAGTTATCTCTCTATTAATTTATAATATCAGGTTTGCCGATATGCACGTCGCCGCAGGATACGACCTCGAGTCGGAAGAGCAAGGTGACCGCGAGGTGAACAAGAAGCTCGCTCAGATACTGAAAGCCGGTGGACTGTCCAAGGTCGCGCGTCTTGATACTTGTGTTACGCTGGTCGACGCCGTCAACTTCATGCAAGATTTTGCGACGGCCGACTTTTTGGTCGACCGCCAAACTGACGTCCCTCAGGAGGACGACCGTAACATCTCTGACCTGCAGGTAGATCAAGTGGAGTTTTCCGATGTGATCATCGTCAATAAATGTGATCTTGTCTCTAAGGAAGAAGTCAACCGGATCAAGGGAGTCGTAAAGAAGCTCAACCCGAGCGCCAAAGTTGTCTCGACGATAAAGTCTCGTCTTGAGCTCACCGAAATTCTTGACACTAGGCTGTTTTCATATGAGAAGGCAGCCCTTAGCGCCGGATGGCTGAAGAGCTTGAACGAAGAAATAAATCCCGAGACGGAAGAATACGGTATCGGCACATTCGTATATCGAGCCCGCCGACCATTTCATCCCGCACGATTGTGGGACATGATCAAGTCAGTATTTGTCGTTATCCAGACGGAATATCAGATTGAAGGGGAAGATATGGACATCGATGAGGAAGAAGAAGGCGATGGCTCAGATGAGGGCGCTGATGAAGATACTGATATGGAGGACGAGCAACCTCAACTCGACCCGAAGGCGCGATTAGCCTCAAAGATAGCAGATGCAACATTCGGACCGCTGCTAAGGTCGAAAGGGTTCCTGTGGCTGGCGACTAGGCCGAAGATGGTAGGTCCTTCAGAAACGTTATTCTCCATTTACTAACAATGCCGATAGTATGGCGAATGGTCACAAGCGGGCGTGATGTTGACTATTTCCGGGCAAGACCTCTGGCGATGCGAGATTCCGCAGGATGAATGGCCCACTGACCCCGAGACGAGAAAAGCTATAACTCGCGACTTCGATGGTAAATGGGGAGACCGTCGTCAGGAACTTGTCTTCATCGGCCAACAGATGCGGAATGGAGGAGAGGAGCGTTTGCGGAAGGCACTCGATGTTTGCCTCCTAAACGACGAAGAATTCCATAACTGGGAGGTGGCAATGGAATCATTCGATGTTCAGGAGAAGTTGGACGAGCTATTTGAGGACGGATTCGAAGATTGGGTTGAAATTGATCATGAGGGCCACGACCATACGAACGGTCATAGTCATGGGGATAATAAACACTGAGGATCCCATTCGGGTAGCTCGTGTCGTTCCCAAATCACTGGTATCAAAGAAGGTTGGGGGGACGGATAAGCTGATGTAAGAAGATGAATACTAGGTAGTTAAGAAGGTAACTTTACGAAAGAATCCCCCTATTCCTTCTCGGTGGATGAGTAGGTAGGTATCTAGGTATGTACTAGGTAGGTATGTTTGATCTATTGATTACCTATTCAACTCTTAGCTCAAGTGCATCACCGAGAGGGGTGGAGTCATACGCATACCTCTTATCATTATTTTATTAATGAGTTATGTACCCAGGTAGGCACTCATGTTCACTAATTTTTGCCTTTTGGGGATATTATCAATGGCTACGAAAACATACCAGGGGGCACAAGATTCTCCGCCACCATGTCTTCGACCTGGCTAATAGCCCACTGTGGCCCTCGGGGGCTTGCGTTCAGAAGGTCACCAATATCGCCATGCGCTTGTCCTTGAGCGTAGGCTTGCATGTACTGTGCGACAGCCGACTTCATAGTAGAAATATCCTTCTCTTCTCGATCTTGAGATAGTCTACTCGCGTTACGGTAATATACTTCTGCATTCTTGGCATTCTGCGTGGCGGTATTCGTAGCTGTTTGATGCGATGTGGGTGGGAAAGCCATGGCGCAGAGGCACAAAGATGCGTCGCCACGAAGGGTATGCGTAGTAACCAGGTCTTCTTGAGAAATACCCTGTATCGCCGACGCAGACTTCAAATTTGCTATGCTTGCGGTAAGAACGTTCCATCGAAGCGTTGACTGTGATTGGGCATCTCCATTCTCGGCTTCGGTGAGGGCGGAGTAAAGCGCAAGGAGGGAGCGGGCATTTGCTAGAAGACTTTGAATTGATCTCTCGAGCTGAAGTTCGGTGGCGGAAAAAGCTGAATCTCTTTCTCGCTTGTAAGTCTCGGCACCGATTTTGCCAGATTTGTACCCTGCTTCCAGCATCGCCGATACCAAATTCCCTTTTGCCAGAGCAATCTCTTGCAGCTTGTCGTTTTTTTCATGCGATATCGTTTGCATCTTCCCTAGGAGGCTTGCTGAAAAGTCCTCGACCCAGGGAAGCGTGTTTGCGGGAGCAGCACCCGGCGAGGAGCCTAAGATACTACAGAAGGTAGTAAGAGTGCCTAACTGTGCGAGTAACGTGTCAATGAGGGTGTCTCGGGTGACTGGTTCCACAACATTGAACCACTCCCCATCATCCTCGATATCATTCGACGCCGAATTTTCTACAATATTAGTTGCAGGCGTAGTGTCGTTTGTTCCCTGTCCTTGCTCGTCTGCAGCGCGTTCCTGCTCGAGGAATTCATGATACTTCCGCTCCTGTACAGCGAGACATTTACTCTGCAACTCAAGGGCCTCTCGAAGCACCTTCAGTGCCTCAGTTTCGGACTTTGAGTCTTCATCATCCTCGTCAGAAGCCATCACCTCGGCGATGGTTGTGAGGACTTGAGATGTGTTGAAGAGGGCATCGGCGTTGTCTGGATCTAGTTGCAGCGAATATCGATGCGATGCCAAGGCTTCTTCTAAGACATATTTTAAGGGCTGTTGTAATTGATCTACTAGAATAGGATGTGTGGCTATCTCCAGCTGCACTCGGGCTCTGCCGATTATGTCAACAAGATATTCTTTTTATTTTCTCTACGTCCACTTACTTGTTATAGGCGAGATCAGCATTTTGAGGGAATTTTCGCAGGCCTTGATCGTAGACGTCAATGGCGCGCTGGAAGAATCTCATTGATTTTGCAGCATCTCCCGCACGCCACTTTCCAGCTGCTTCTTCAAACTCGACACCAGCAGATTGGAAGTCATCTGCTGTTTCGAGTTTCTGTTCATTTTTCGGCTTCGACTTTGATTGTTTCAGGAATGACTTGGGCTTTGCCATTTTCTTTTTCTTTTCCTCTTATTAAGCTTTTGATTGAAGAGAGAACTTGAAGGGAGATGAGAGAAATGAGAACCTTGAAATTAACTCTCTGTCTTAGCCTTTTCGAGAAATTTTTAAAAATTACAGTTACGCTACGGTGGCGGGGTGGCTGCTGACAACGGCATTTTCACCCCCACACAAAGCCCCCACACGGCATACCGGTACGGCGCCGGTCCGGAGTAATCCATAGATACGCTAATTCCTCTCAATGAGCCGTGCATTGTTATCGTCAATTCCCTTGCGAAATTCGAGAGGTTGGAGACTGAGTATTGTCATGAAGACTGATAATTCTTTCAACCGCACATAATATATACGAAAAGCGGTGGTATCGGTTCGCTTTAATTATGGCTGAAAACTTACCTATTATGAAAGTTCAGAAGACCGCCTCGATATTCCCGTGCATCGCGTAATATTCATATATTTCATAGAGATCAATGGCACTCTGTCTTAGGGCATCAGTATTGGATATTTATCTATGTGATATGAAGGGTATCAGAACACATAGTAGGTACATCGCTCATCCTAATGGCAGTTACTAAGCTCCATGTGTTAGAGTGCCAATAGAGCTATCCTCAGCTGAGGTTGTGAAGACTAAGTAGAAATATCACGAGCAAGAAAAGGACGTGATTTCTGCCGCTTACCTTCAGTCTAAGTGAGGTAAGATACGGGAGTGCCGTAAAAATAATTGGATAACTCTTCCTACTTCCTGCTTTCGATAATCCAACTCCTATTTTTTTGGTCTTCAGTCTTCATAATATAACCGAGAGAACGTCACCTCAATATTTTCTATGTGGAGCATATCAACCTTGGAGCCTTCCCCAGACTAGTCCTACTCCGCGAGCAAGCAACATCTATTATCCAACTATACCTAAGTAATAATCTAAAAAAAGACTGCCGTGACGGATAGCGGCTAAGGTTACATTGGTTCCTGGTAGGCCTGTCAGTCTCCACTTGAGAGCTGACAGAACAGGGCGGAAGGAAGGCGGGCATTCACATTTATTGATCCGCAAGATTTCAATTACACGGGCCATAATCTATCGATGGCTGAGATCAGCATCTTAGTAACATAAGCTATATTTACATGACCTTACCCATTCGCCTATTACCCCAGATGTCCTAAGCCTCATCGGGACGCTTCTGATGTCTGAGGTAAACGCATACGACAATTAAGGGGCGAGTTGTAGGGAATAGATAGACGAGACTGCCGGCACTAAAAACCAAAGACTTAAATAGATAGGTTAGGTTCCCACCAGAAATATTCAAGACTTAGAAACGTCTTAAGAGAACATCGTCTTCTACCCCCTGCCGGTAACTCACTACTTGCTTATTTGTCGAGTTCATCATACAAATATGAAAACCACGACTGCAATCATTGCTGCGTTGGCCTCTGCTGGAAATGTCCAAGCTCACGTAGCCGCGTGGGTGAAGGGTATGTACTGTCTGGTAAGTACCCCTGACACCTAAAGTCCCTACACTTAATAACCCCGACCAGAACGGTACGACACCCGGAAAAGAAGACCCGAACACAAACGTCGCTGTTAATCCCCTATTTGAACTCCCCAAGAGTAAATGGTGGATGCAGGCGGATCGTAACTGCGACAAGTTCCCTCCCGCTGACGGAGACTCTCTCGCTCTTCCGGCCGGCGGATCATTTACCGTCGAGCTAGCTCACAACCGCGCCCAGACCACCCTTTCCTTCGACGGGAAATTCACCTCGGAATGGCCAGACGGAAGGAATCACCCTGAGGATTGGCATAGCCCTCTACCTCCTGACCCTAACAAGTGTCTCGACGCTAACCGTGACGAGTTTGGCGGTGCTATGCATACACATAACGAGACAGACTCGGCCGGCAGCGCTTTTGCCATCTCGTATAACTCCGATATTTCCAAGGTCACCATGGAGAACTTAGCCGTTTTCACTGTCTTAAAGCAGTGAGTCGCTCTCACACTTTGTTCGGATGATATGATAGAGACAAGTGACTGATCATTCATAGTACCCCCTGGAAACGTCTGGCGACTTACCAAGTTCCCAAGGACCTCCCTCCCTGCCCAGCAGGTGGTTGCTACTGCGCAGTATGTATCCCGCCCCCTTTTGCATTTGCCGATTTGCCTTGAAAGTGGATATTTTTGCCCGGGGTTAGAAGTCTCTCGCCCCAGTGAGGAACAAGATACATTATGTTGGAAGCGATTACTAACCCCCCTTGGCTCTGTAGTGGCTTTGGGTTCCAAGCGGATGCGGTGAACCGAACATGTATATGCAAAACCTCAGGTGCCATGTTACCAACTCTCAATCTACAAAGAAGGTGGCCTCAGCCAAGCCTGCAGTATTGTGCGACGACAATAAGACGCCGTGTGTCGAGGGAGCCAAGCAGATGATTGCCTGGAACCGTGAGTCTCCCTCCCCTCTCATCTTGCCTGTATAGTAGCTATTGCTACATAGGATATCATTCTCACACAATGACCAGAGCAAGATGGTAACAATATCGTTACCGCCCCCGGAGTCAACCCAGGCTATAACGAGAAGATGGGTTGGGCCAACGGTGCCCAGAACGACATTTTCGAGTAATGCGATCCGTGGCCTTGTAGGGATGAGACATCGTCGCGTTGGGGTTCTTTTTTTTAGTAAGAATGGACGATCGTTTCTTGGTCTGCTTACTCCAAAGAGAAATTGCTTGAGTTTAAACTAGAGCTGTCTATTGTTATCGTGGTTACGACCGCGTACTTTCCATTCTTGTTGTATATATTTCCTAGTACCTCGGTATACTTGGTAGATTGCATATAGACGTTTTCGTACTCCACTCGTTTATCATTCCAAGCGAAATGTCGCAATTAAAGAGATACTCTTCGATTGACGTATAAGGCTTTTGGCAACGTACCGATCAGATAGGTCCTCGAAATTCGAGTAGCCTACCTTGTAGCATAACTCACGTACCTACTATGTAGGTAGTTTGAATAGTTTGCAGATGGTACGTGTATCTTCCATGTTTCGCATCAGGAACCTCGCTGATGGTTGGATTGGAGAAACTTCGGAGCGCCTATTTCCCACGCTACCGGCAAATCTTCGGGGAAAGGATCTCTAGCGAGGTGGGCTACGGTCATCCGGCCCGTTAACCGGCGCCGATCTAAACTCCATTGAACAAACACTGAGCCATCATCTCCATCCAAACTTCCCCCGATTTACATTCCGGTCTTCAGGGTCACAATTCATACATGAGCGGTCTTGGAACGTCACAAACAATCAAACGGAACGAACAAGCCGGACTTATACTCATCCAGCGAAAGACTACCCATGATCCATGGATATCACCCCCGCGATGTTTCCCGCCAAGATGCGGCTTCTGTGAATTCCGTACCCCGTTGGTTAAAGTTGGTGGAAGTTGGTTTTCGTTAACGTAAAATGTGTAGTACGCGGTAGTAGCGGGGCTGGAGTCGAGTTATATAACTACTAGGTACGTTCGTAATTAAATAACTTAAACCTTGATTCATTTCTTGTCCCCTCTCTTCTATCTTTCTCTCTTGCTCTCAGCATATTTCATATACACGATAATACCCGTGTGAAGTGCTATAACAACCCATCCATACTCTATATTCTCTACTTCATCCACTTAAATCACGGCGAAGATGGCGGATATCGACGTGGAACAGGTCCTCAAGAAGCTTTCTATGAGCGACAAGGTCGACTTGTTGGCGGGTATCGACTTCTGGCATACGAAGGGGCTTCCAGAACACGGAATCCCTTCGCTACGCTTAACTGATGGACCAAATGGTGTTCGAGGAACCAAATTCTTCAATGGCGTCAAGGCCGCTTGTTTCCCCTGTGGGACAGCGTTGGGAGCTACCTTCAATCAAGAACTGCTAGAGGAAGCTGGAAAGAAGATGGGAGAAGAGGCCAAGGTAAAGGGAGCACACGCAATCTTAGGACCTACTATAAATATGCAACGAGGTCCCCTTGGTGGTCGAGGGTTCGAATCGCTTGGTGAAGACCCATTCTTAGCCGGTTTAGGTGCTGCCGCTCTCGTCAGGGGCATCCAGTCAACCGGAATCCAAGCTACCATAAAGCATTTCGTGTGTAATGACCACGAACACAAGCGAAATGCCGTGCAAGCAATCATAACAGAGCGAGCACTGCGCGAAATCTACGCGCTGCCATTCCAGCTAGTAGTCCGAGATGCCAACCCGGGCTCATTCATGACGGGTTACAATGGAGTTAACGGAACATATTGTTCTGAGAATCCTAAGCTGCTAGATCAAATGCTTCGCAGCGAATGGGGATGGGATGGGATGGTAATGAGCGATTGGTATGGTACCTACACAACTACCGAAGCCGCTTTGGCTGGCCTAGATCTTGAGATGCCTGGTCCTCCACGGTTTAGGGGTGAACCGCTCAAGTTCAATGTCTCAACCGACAAGGTTCGGAAACACATTCTCGACCAACGCGTGAAGGCGATGTTAGAATTCGTCAAGAAGTGCGCTGCTAGTGGCGTGAAAGAAGATGCCCCCGAAGGCACAGCCGACACCCCTGAGACGGCTGAGCTGTTGCGGCGGATAGGCAATGAGGGGATAGTGTTGTTGAAGAACGATCAAAAGATTCTTCCCCTTCAAAAAGACAAGAAGGTACTGCGCCCAGCCTTTGTTTCACGAAACCTTCCGTAAGTCGCTAATATTTGACGTACAGACTGTTGTCATTGGACCTAACGCCAAGGTTGCAACATACCATGGAGGTGGATCTGCATCATTAGCTGCGTACTATGCTGTAACTCCGTTCGACGGTATCAGCAACAAGCTATCTTCACCACCAGATTACACAATTGGTCAATATTCACACAAGCTGCTTCCCCTCCTCGGCTATTCTACTAAATCAACAAAGGGAGAGCAAGGAATAACCATGAAGGTTTACGTGGATGGTCCAGAAGTCTCGAATAGGCAACCTGTTGACCAGCTTGAGTTACTGAAGACGGAGATGCTCTTCATTGATTACGAAAACCCACATCTAAAGGGCCCTCTATGGTATGCGACCCTCGAAGGATCTCTAGTTGCCGAAGAAGACGCCACATGGGAATTCGGAGTGGTCGTATCCGGGACGGCTAATCTTTATATCAACGACGAATTGATCGTTGATAATACCAAGAAGCAGACATTGGGAGATGCATTTTTCGGGAGCGCTACTGTAGAGGAGAAGGGCTTCTATAAGCTTGAAAAGGGCAAGACGTACCGCTTCCAGGTTACCTTTGGATCGAGCCCAACATCTAAACTTGGAGGTGGTGCGGTTCTTCTCAATGGCGGCGCACTTAGGATCGGTGGTTGCAAGGTCATCGACCCTAAGGCTGAGATTGTTCGCGCTGTTGAGCTAGCTAAGGGGGCTGAGCAAGTAATCGTGTGTGCCGGCCTCAACGCTGAGTGGGAGACTGAAGGCAACGACCGTGCCGACATGAGCCTCCCTCCTGGAATGGATGACTTGATATCTGCTGTTGCCAAAGCTAACCCTAATACGGTCGTTGTTATGCAATCCGGTACTCCAGTAGAGATGCCTTGGATCAGGGATGTAAAAGCCCTCATCCATGCGTGGTACGGCGGGAATGAGACGGGAAATACGATCGCGGATGTTCTCTTCGGCGATGTAAATCCATCGGGGAAGCTCAGCTTAAGTTTTCCGGTTCGCGTCCAAGACAACCCGGCATATTTAAACTACCGAACTGAGGGTGGCCGCGTTGTCTACGGCGAGGACGTCTATATCGGCTATCGCTATTACGAATTTATCGACCGCACAGTCCTATTCCCCTTCGGGCATGGTCTCAGCTATACAACTTTCCACTTTTCAGACTTGTCAGTGACGGACAAAGAGGGTGAGCTGACCGTATCGCTGGCAGTGAAGAACACCGGTAGTGTAAAGGGTGCCGAGGTTACTCAAGTTTACGTAGCACCAAAGCAGAAAGCTAAGGTAAATCGGCCTATTAAGGAGTTGAAAGGGTTCGCCAAGGTGGAGCTGGATCCGGGTGAGACTAAGATAGCGACAGTGAAGGTACAGACAAAATATGCGGCTGGCTACTGGGACGAAGAGCGCGACCAGTGGTGCGCCGAGGAAGGAGAATACGAAGTCATAGTCAGCAATTGTAGTGACGTGACACCGGAAAGGTCTATTAGGGGTTCGTTCAAGGTGGCCGAGACTTTCTGGTGGTCTGGAATATGATACTCATAACTGGGTACTTACCTAGGACTTAGTATAGGGCTAGCAATGGAATGGTATGAATTTATTTTATTATGCTGAAGTTGTAGATTCTCAATTAAAAAAAACAATGATCATCGCACCTAAAGATAGGTACCAAGTACAGTACTCTCTTTTCTTACTCCCTGTACTACTCCAATAAATCCCCGCACCTAGCAGTGGTGATAGATTACATAATGCGGGGTTGGTTCCAGTTTTCTTAACGCGACGGGCGCGGGTCTTACTCTTACTAATGAAGAAAATTGACCCTTCTATGCTTCGTTCATATCGTCAGATTAATAAGACAAACGACGTTAATTGCACCCCGAAATCTCGCTTGCGAACCGATATTTAGCGATGATTCCTAGATGGTTATCGCACTGATGCTATCAATCTCCCCATAACGCGTCTAGGATTTAACCAACAATGGCGCCCCCTACGATCCTCGCCCACAAATCCTCTTTCCTAACCGCCCAAACCCTCCAGCTCTCCCAGTCCCTAACGCCCAGCGCCACCTGGCGCGCCTCCAACAGCCAGGTCGCCGAGGGCGGGCTACCCGATAGACTAGTCGACGAGGTGCTATACCGCGCTAACCACGTGTTGCTGCAGCATGCGCGCCGAGTATACGCTCCCCAGGCCAGCCGGCATGTCGCCGAACAGATCGAAGCTTTGTATCTGGAAGCTGCAGAGAAAGCTGTTCGAGGTAATGGTGCGGGGGTAGGCGGCGGCGGCGGCGAAGAAGAAGAGGATGGAGACGAGGGGAGAGAAAGGGGGGATGAGGGGGCTAGATTTTTAAGGGTTGGTGCCGATTTTGGTATGTTTCCTATACATTTCATATTTCACCTTTTTGATATTTACACCGCGGAACATGCAAATATCTAAATAATCGACTAACCATACCCCTTTCTCTTACTAGCATCCGACGACGTCGTCGCCGCCCTACCCAGCACATGGGACCTGCACTCTGCCACCCAAGCCGCAGCACACCCCGCCGAAGCAAACCGATACGCGGATCTCGCATCGACGCTTACATCCCTCGCGACACAACGCAAGGAGGCTTCCTCGCGCCTCGAGCGTCTACGTCGGATGCGTGGACTCCTCGCCCCTTTAACATCATTCCCCACATCCGCTTCTTTTCCTCCTTCTTCCTCCTCCTTCTCCGCATCCACCTCCGCCCCGCCTCCCACTTCCAACGTTGGGGGAGTTATAGATGCGATGGACGGAATAGATAAGGTTCAACCTAATCTAGTAACCCGCGAGGGCGAGTTAGAGAAAGAGCTCGAGCGCATGCGCGTCCTACTCGTGCGCGTAGCAGGCCGCGTCGCGCAGTTACCTGATGCGGGACCGGGGACTGGTGAGGATACCGCGATGGAAGACTTAGAGGCTATAGAGCGGGGAAAGGTTGAGAAGTTGCTTGATGAGTTTTAGAGGCGTAAATGCTAACTCTCCGTTTGATGATGAGGCTTTGAGAATGAGGCGTTATGGTATGCTGGGTCGCTTGTTGATTTGTTATGTACTGATTATGATACCCCTAAAATTTATGGATAGATGAAATTTAAGTAACTTCACTAAATGTAATAAATTTAGCTAAATGCGATGAGAATTTGACGAAGTTGACTTTTAACGTTTTTCTATTAAAAAAAGAAAGAAAGAAAGATATACCCGGTACGGGCAAGTCAAATTCAATTAATTATCAAAATCCAGTTGTGAGCGGTGTTTTATGTATTCTACCTAGGAGATTGATAACTAACCCATCAACGAAGTACCTATTGATACCTCCTGCTTTTTCACTGCCAAAGGCCAACCCGGTCTTCCGATTTAAGCTCCAATAGTCCACCAACCTTGCCTGCAGTAACTAATGTCGTACATTTTCATGACAATCCATCTTTACTAAGGAGTTGGTATTAAAGATAAGATGCTCTTTCTTCTTTGCTCATTATCCCCTTCTAAAGTAGCATCTTTGGAGCTGTCGTCGACGTCGAGGCCTTTGGAACTCTTTGGCTCGTTCTGCTTGCCGTCAGCGATATCCTCCTCATCATCCTCGTCATCGTCCTTATCACTCTCGCTGTCGTCCTTGTCTTTCTTGTCGTCCGCATATGGGTTTGGACGAACTACGCGCAACTTTACAATCTCTTTATCCTTATCCTCATCCACCACCTTGTAGTACACACGCAAGCCGACAGTTGTGACAGCATTCCACGGATTGCTCTCGAACTCGTCCTCCTCCTCATCCGGCAATCCCACAGGTGGCGGGGGAGAAGGTAGTGTAGGTTCATTGGCCTGGCGTTCGAGTCGAATGTCTAATTCTCGATCACTAATCTCAGAGACCGATAAGATATCGCTCTCGTCAGATGAAGACTCTTCATCATCCTGACTTTCTCCTTTCTCCTGAGACTTGTCATCTTCGTCCAGTTTGGGGCTTTCACCTTTCGATTCCGCCGGCCCTTTAATTAGGTCGACGTTATCTTCAACCTTAACAGAGCCGATAATCTCACCCGAACTTGATACCTCAAGCTGTTCTTCAGATTTTGGTGATACATCCGTAGAAGTTTTATCAGGCTCTGGAGTGGTCTTGCTGGGCTCTGTAGACGGAGTCTCGATTTTGGGATCAGTAATTGATTCAGAACCTGGTTCTTTGGATTCTGGCTCCGGGGTCTGACTTGGAGACACTACTTGAACATGCTTTTCCTTGTCAGGTTCTGGTTGCTGTTCTTTGGAACCTTTGGCCTCCTCGGCAGCCATCTTGAACTTCAGCTTCTCGGCTTTAGCAGCTTTCTTGGCCTGTGCCTTCGCTTTAGCCTTTGCTTTTATTTCCTGGTTCTTTTTGTGAACCTTGACGTGGAGATAATGTTCATTTTTACGATCTTGCATGATCTTCTTCTTAAACTCCTGGCGCTCCTTCTCCTTTTTTCGCTTCTCCGCTTCCTTTCGGGCTTTCTTTTCCTCGGGGGTTTCTATGATCTTCCCTTTGCTGTGGGCTAGATCATAAGACATCCCGACAGCAACCAACTTGTCCCTACGATCTCGCGCATTGTTCCGAACAACCTCCTCTATCGGCAGCTTACTCATGTAGCGAGTCGCGTTGATTTTTAGCAGGACAGTGTATTCGCCTTCTTCTAACTCCAACTCCACATTGACCGAACGATTCTGACAGTATGGGTTAATGCTGCGTACGACATAGTCTTCTTGTCCGTTCTTATGCAAGCGAAAATTTAGTTCGAACCGGTACTGGCCCTCAAGGCCACGGTAGTATCGATCGTCAAGCTGAGAAAGCACGATGACAACCGGGCCGGCCTTTGCTAGCGAGAAATCGAAATAAGTATCGTGGTAATCTAGTGTCCAAGGAATCGAAAGCGTGGTCCAAAGGGAGGTAACCTTCCACTCCGGTCCAAAGAGTCGAGTTCGGTCGAAAGCCTGGTATTTACGAAGTAGATCGTCATACGAGATCCAAAAATTGCCATCGTCGCCAAAGCGATGATTGAGCTTAAGCAACCATTCTGCCGTCCATTCTTTGCTGCCGTCAGCCCATGCGCCCTTCCATTCTCCCTTTCCCCATGGGTTCTTCAACAAGACAAGGCGGTGGCCGTCTATATCAACAGCCTTCATGATCGAATAGGCATGAAGTTCGACGATCCCCTTGCGTTCACCCCATCCCACGCCCCACATACCTGTAGAGCATCCGAAGAGAAACTCATCGTTGACTTTCATGAGCTCCTCTTTCCAGAAGTACTCCTTGTCCAGGATATCTGAGGCATAGAGCTCCGAGGTAACTCCGCCGGTGAGGTCCTCGATACCCTCACCGGTATAGCCACCTTCGATCGCTGTGTAGTCCCCGTGCGCCTTGGCATAGGCCTTCTCGAGCAGTGGCAGCCAGGTCTCGTTTTCATGCTCACATTGAGCAAAGTACAAGGCGCCGGACCCACTCTGGTAGGCCTTTCGGTATTGCTCTTCAGAATTGATCCTTTCGCGATCTTCCCAAAGCATGCGCTCAAGAAAACTCTCGTCAAAATCGGGTTTGGTGAGAAACAACTTGTCATCGATGATCTCGGAGATCCACTCGCCGTCGCGGTGGAAAACGAAGCCGTAGACACCAACTTGCTCGTCGCGAGCTACGCACACCCTCTCAATCAAGCTAGGTTTGTTGCTGAGGGTACAGAGAGCAGCAAGCAGCCAGCAGTCGCCGTCACGACCCTGTCTGACGTCATTAGCGGTGGGACCCTCGATATAAAACTTAGGATCATCAAAGATGTCGACCACACGCTTGACGCTCTTCGGGCTGAAGTCTGAGTCTGGCTTATCTTCGATGTTGCTGAGTGACTCAAGCGTATCACGACTCCCCCATTTCAAGTCAGACTCAAGATCAAAATGAGGATCTCGGTATTTCTGATTCACTCGGCGACACTCCTTTACGATTTTGGCGACCTTGGCTTTGCAGACGGCAGCGGCTTCTTCGTACGACGTCTGAGTGTTTGTGCCAACAGCCTTGGCCGATCGTTTCGCTGCTTTTTCAGCGTACTCATTATGCGGAATAACAGTAGTTGCTGATGAAGGGTAAGTTAAAGGTAGGGTTAGCAAGTCCCCAAATTCTAGGCTGAAGACGAGGAAGAGGGTGGAGGGTATAGAAACTTTAGATAACATACCTTTCCCAGGGGCCTTGGTAGTAAACTTAGCCCAGAAATCGTCAATGGCTTGCTGGGGAGTTTGTTGCTTAGGTTTCTTAGGGGTTGGAGATATGGTCACAGGCACCTCCGCCATGACGGTACGGCCTTCACCGTCCTGATTTAGATATCCAGCCTCCGAATGCGGTGCTGGGAATACGGCCGACATGATTTCCGAAAGTCAGGTAAAAGTAAATCTACACACTGCTTGACTAGGTAGGTAAATATTTTAAGAGGAAAGTGTCAAGTATCCAGTTACCTTCCAATTTTTGCCAACTTGAAAGGAAAGCACGTAAGTGAGGAGGAGGTGGATGATCACGTAGTTCAAACCGTAGGAGGGAGGAAACCACGTTCAGTTCAGGACTTTGTACTAGGTGGGCAGTTTGGAAAAAGAGAAGTAGGTAAGGGGGCCAAGGAATAGAATGGAAATACCCTTAGCTTTAAGGAGAGGCTGACACTAACATCTCACAGGAGAGGGGAAGAGGGAAGAGGAGGAGACACAAAATAAGAGAGAAAATAAGAGAAAAGAGAGAAGAGAGTGACCGATATTACTAAGACTACTAGGTACCATTGTAGGACTTTCCAGGGCCGGGGGGGGTCTGGAGGGATGCTAAGGGAGCAGTTTGCGGCGTGCCGGAAATTCGATAAATCATCTTAAACCTTGAAGTCTTTGGTTAATTCGTTCGTCTTCATACGATGAGAAGTGAAGAGCTGAAAGAGGATGGACGAGACGAGGGGTTGGAGGGGCAGGACTAGTCAAGCGAGAAGTCAGACTCGATAAGCTATTCGTCCAAACCTTAAAAAAACGGGGTCGTGGAGTTGGGGGCCGAAATCATTTAGCAAATAGGAATATGACTTCTCAGCCCTTGTTTTATGGGTCTCCCGTTCTTCCTAAATCATTAGTTAAAATGACGAATTAGAGACCTTAAACTCCAAAAACAACATCCAGCTCATACTACAAATCCGCTTTAATCTTACTGAACAAAGCCGGAACGTGTTGGCAAAGTTGGCATACAGCTACGATAAACCACTCGCCGCTTAAGTACTCGTTTAGTTCCCTGCACGAAACAACTCCTCAAACGTTGAGTATTCCTAATAGCCACCGAGGCAATTCACAACCCGGCAGATGCACGGCAGGCTGCTCTGCCTTTTCACCCAGATTCAGAAACTCATACATAGAGCTATGTGATTTGATTTCCATTCCACTTGATCGTTAATAAGCTAATGTTATATAATCTCTCGTCGTCTACTACCCTCCGTGGCATTCGTGGCTTTCAAGTTTCTTCGGAGATAGGTCCTATCAGCTAACCTAAAGTAAGCTGAGAGGGTTGAATGCCTTCTCATTCTAAAACCCGAAATATATCTAGCCATATAATTGATGATCCTCTAACACCTCTATCTAGGTGCGTACCCAGGTAGGTAGGTATAGTTGACCCTTATTAATTCACACAAAGTCCTTTACTTTCTCTTCGCACCAGTTGAAAAATTCTTTCGATCTCCCTGAACCCCCTTCCCCTTCCCCCTTTATCGCTAGAAGAAGATCCGCCCTCTGTCCCGGATGCCACCTCCCATCACATATCGCATAGTTTCCAGCTTTAGCTTCGTCCATAGTTACCTCGTTCGAGAAACCCATCCACATGTACGTATACGAGCCATATACCGGATCACGCAGCGTGGGGTACACGAGGTAATATTTAATCAGATCTTTGACATGACGCCAGATATTGGTGTTATAACTACCCGGGTTACCGCCGATGTGGACGATTCCGCATCCGAAGGGCCCGGATTCGGACTGATGTCGTGCAAATTCGGTAGCTAGGAACCAGTTTCCTGTCTTCGACTGGGCGTATAGTACACCCGCGTGCTTCTCGCTGAAAGGATCTTCCAAAAATTCCTTCGTAATCCCGTTTATCGGACTCGTCATTTCGACGAGGATCGACGCAGCCCACACCACTCGTACGGCGTCCTTGGGGGACTTCTTGGCCGTCTCGGTGAGAATGGGTGTTAATAGTCGTGCTAACAGGAAATGTCCAACCGAATTGGCGGTAATATGGTATTCGTGCCCCTGGGCAGTTGGCGGGGCGTCCTTCCAACCGCCAGTGCCCGCGTTGTTAAACAGGACGTCAAGTCTCCCGTCCGGTCCCTCGCTGTCGAGAAACTGTTGCGCAGCCGCCTTGACGCTCTTGAAGTCTGATAAATCCATCGGTACAAATTCCAAGCTTCCTACTTTTGCATCTTTATCAGAATAGTGAGCTTTTATGCGATCAATAGCCTCCTCCGCGTTCTTCTTCGTCCGTGTGAGCATATACACTTTTCCACCGGCACCATACAAGACTCGCGCGAGCTCATATCCTATCCCGGATGACCCACCCGTCACGATGAACACCTTTCCAGCCAGGTTGGACACATTGGCTTCCGTGATCGGTGCGCCATCGCGAGGAGGGAAGAATTGTGTCCAATACGAGTAAAGAGACATTGTAGAATTTGTCACCAATCCGTACTTGAACTACAGAGTGTACAGAGTCAACAGAGTGCAATAGACATGCGCAAAAGCCGAAAGGACGAACTAGCTAATTAATATTACACCAAACCCCCTAGCTCGTAGCCGCACATCAGCTTATGGCATATTTTATGGGGTAGAAGGACGGTACTGTAAGCACTTCGCATCCTTCCCGAGGCACCAGTGTTACACCCTCGGCCAGCTTTATTCAGCTCGATAGGATACCTATCGAACTACTGACTAATATAGCTATTAATGGCGATGTGCGGTACTCGCATCGCAGCTGCTCTGCGTAATTATGCGGAGAGGTGAGAGACTCAGGCCCCTAGAGAGTAATGATCGATGGCAACTTCGTGTGGAATTACCATGCCCATCCAAGGGATATCGGACTTTAACCCAATGGCTTCACAATGCTCTACATTCCTTCAGCCCTCTATTGCAGTCCACGCGGCCCTATTCACCTTTTGGGTCATTCGGCTTGGGATTTGCCAAATCTTCACATTCAAGCCTTCCGAGTAGCATTTGTCAAGCTCGGAGAGGAATATTTCCCATAAGTCGCTATTGTCAGGAACCCCCCCTGTGGTTGGACATCTCCAGCCATAATACAGCCATATTCTCAACTGCCATGAGACGGCTCTAACAACGTATTCGGAGGCTGTGGCAATAACTAAGGTGTTGAAGCCCTCGGCAGACCACCGCCGGCACTGGAGAATCGCGATAAGGGCTCGAAGGTCAACCCGGTCTTGTGTTCTCACGACGAAGAGATTTCCAATCGTTGTGTCCTCTAAACGACCGGTTATCATAAGGTTTTCATGGCTGTCAACGTGGTTCCTATACGAAAATGCCCAGCCAGCTTCAGGATTATATTGCCACTGCAACATCCGCGACGAGCAGATGGCGCCAGCGAATACAATGAATTGCTTCGCGTCCCTTTTGTGGACGAAGCGCGTGATCTTATTTGTGTAAGAAGTAAGGATGCTCCCGAAAACGTCGGACGGACTTGCGCCCGGAAATGGGGGGGTGAACAATTCTGGTATCAAGAGTTCTGTTTCCGGATTACCAATGTCAATCGTTATTCGAGCCGCCGACAATTGTGGCGGGTCCGAGGGTGGAGGTGTAGCGCGCGCCGGGGCGACGATACATCTACCTCGATAGATATCTTTAAGTGTACGTTTTAAGGATTCTCCAAAATTCGGACTTAGAGTCTTTAATTCAGAGCTTAGTGTTTCTGTTGGTAGCCTAGCCATATAATTGAAGACGGAGAAGTCTAGGTCGCAAGTAGAGCAAATAGACAGGCCGTGAAGACCGCAAACATATCGATGGTCGGAAAGCTGAATATACCTGGCCATATTGTTAACTGATAGAAAACATATGTGTTTATATCTTTGGTGTAGGAAACATAAGAAGTCTTATTTGGCTGGATACATACCTAGTAGGTAGGTAGGTATTCCAGGTAAAGCAACTCGAGTTTTTCGTTTCAACTGTCTAGTAGGTAAGACTGGTAAATATCTGGTTACGTCGCTGATAGCTGCTGCTTGTTAAATGTCATTAATAACGCAAGTACGTTCTGTTTACAAGGCAGAACGCATCAATGATCATCAGGAAGGTCTAATACTTGAGATACGCTCTTTCTCGTGAATCTATTTCATACCTTCCAGCTGCCCCTCTAATATAGAGGGTTCGTAAAGCCACCTAGTACCTACCTATCTAGCAACATCTACAGGTACCTAATCGTCCGGATGAGGAGAAAATAGCACATTTGAGATCATATTGTAAATAGTGAGGTCGAGAAGAGATCATGCAACTAATTACCTAGGTACCTACTTATTCAGGGGTGGGTTATATAAGCAAGTGGTTTGGGGGTACCGATGTTACTAACATGGGTGCAAAGAGAAGTATTCACGAGCTAATCGCTCCTCATCCAAGGCGAATCGGGTTTGACGGTCACGGCCGTAGATGATACAGCCAATTTTGGTAGCTGAGAAGAAGATGACATGTGGGATGACTACTATGAACAGAAGCAACATACCCTTCATTGAATGTCTATTGGAGTAAGTCGGGTATTAGGCATAGATAAAATGCAACTTGTCCCATGAATTTATGGCCTGGAATTCGGTATTTGACCGTGGTCTTGGCTCTATTGTTAGAGTAAATGGTAATTATATTAGCCTACTTACCTAGGGATACATTGTTGGGACAGGGTTGCGATTAATTACTATCTATATTGGCATGTTTCGAATATATATTAAAAAAATCAAAAAGTAGGTAGTTGCTTGGGCGTCTTGTTTGTTATATGGCATTTATTAATAATAAATACCTACTAGATAGGTAATTATCATGGAGCAATAGGCGAACTAAATCTCTATTGAATAATGGACTATGATTATTAACAGATTCGAGTTCTAGAATCTAGCTTCACTAAAGCGAGCACAAGCGCAGATCGCAAGATCTTCCCATTGTCGCTCAAAAACGGAGTTCATTCCGTGAGTTCGGGAATGAGAAGCTGTCTGACTGTCCGACAAATGCTTCTTGCCTAGGTACTAAGCAGCTACATAGTATGTAGGTAGGTATGCCTCCCACGCTTCCCACGCTGCCAAGGTAAAGATGATCTTCAATTCTAGCGTGGCTGTGGCGAATGGATGCCGGTCTAGCTAGGTCTAGCACGCATTGAATTCAATTTTCAATCAGGGAAAGCTGGGATAAAGATCAAGGCAAATCGCTGAAGATCTGGCGAGACCCAGATACGGCCTTAGCTGGTGGCCAAGGCATAATCCAGCACAGCGGAAGACCCGCCCGAGCGAGTTGACTCAGGCTGTCAGGTTAGCTTTCAGGGGTATCATCTTCCGTCCGATCGCATACTACGACGGTAGTGATCTTCAGTGATCTCCAAACCCCACAGGGCTTCGACATATTAACTCCCCTGTATTCGTACATTCATGATCAGAATATATTTTCTTTGTTGGTGGTCCGAGATGAGGGTTTTTTTTTTTTTAGTTGCGTGCGAGTGATGGAGACCGATATAAACATCACAGCAAAGTGAATTGCCAAATATGAGTTGTGTTTCATAGGGAGGTAGTCATCTAAAGCTCTATATTGAGAGAAATGAGGAAAGGTCAGAAAGCCTGACCGAGTTGCCGAGTTTCTCATCAGCCAACGCACCGACATTCTGGATGCACATGCATAATGCATATGGGCATAATACGCATGAGTACCTACCTAGTAGTGTTTACTTTTTCTTTCTTTCTTTCTTTCCGGGAGTCGAAGCTCATGGCTCATTTAGGAAGCTGACCCCGAATACTAAAAAAGGCGTGAAACATGTTCCCCTGAGGGCTGATAGGTTCGTTTGAGAAACAATACGAAAGCCCCTTGCTTGTTAATGGTCACTCAGCCCTCGGTACGCGAGAGCCGAAGTTTAAAAAGATATTAGAAGAATCGTTCCGGCGTTCTCGCCCTCCATTAGCGAGAAAAAAAATCAATCAAATGATAACCTGGAAGCCTGGACTTTTCAGGAACAGATTATCATGTTCAATCGAATGGTGATAGGAACTTTTACTTGCCAGATGCCCCATCTTTCCATTGCCAAGAAGATCTTGCTTTGGTGGGTCGAGGAGATTTCACTGGACGGGAGAGCGCCAGCTAGAATCGAGCACTTGCATGGTGGCGTGCCGCCGCACCTGCGCACGTCCGGCATCTGAGCATTTAGACTGATGAGGTGAGAATTTGGTAGAATCTCTCGTCTTTAGGTTGACGGAAATTTTTCTCTAAGTTGGAAAGATCGTCGGTAGTACTTCAGATATACACAGCAGCGCAGTAACTGTCCGGAGTAGAACAGTGCAGTGCAGAAGCAGAAGCAGTGCAGAAGCAGTGAGCTTTTCCACCCCGCCACTCTTATTTATGATCCATCGCCTTCCATAACAAGTAACCTACCTACTAGGTAGGTACCTGTTAAGAAATCCATGAATTGTAGTCTGTTAAACCCGAGCCTGCGGTTGCGGAGGTTTAGGATAGGGGGCTGACAATATGACCTAGCAGCATATACCTATATGTAGGTAATTACCTTGTCTTCTTCTATAAGCGCGTATGGTAAGTAACTAGTCGCGCGTGTATTGGACGAGCGCGCGGTAAAAGACAATATAGTAACGAATTTATAGTACCAGGTAGGTACCTAGGTAATTACGCTGTATGTAGTTCGGACGGTTCGGATAAGAATAATAGAGGGTTGCCGTTATTGTGCGCGCGCTTAACATTAACTCCTGCGGCTATTAGCAGTAAATATTTACTAAAGTAGGTACTTACTCACAACAATAGCGGTAGTTTTTTGCGGATAATTGTGTATGAATAGGCTATCTACGGTTACTAAGTAATACTATGAGTTGCCTATTAATAATAGAGATGTTCAATGTTACGGTAAGACGATGGCGAGAGTTGAAAGAGGAAGAATTGAGTTGACTGACTCGATACTAGTCTGTCTCCACTAGTGCCAGAATACGGGTACCTATCTAGGCGAGCTTTAAGAAGTTGATAGAGGATACGAATAGGGCGTGTTTCACCATTAATCCTTGCTAACCGTTAAGTTGGTGATTCGAGTACATCCATGGATACATCCATCTAGCCTATTAAGGCGCTGATGGCAGGTTGTAGCTGCCAGCTCAGCGTCAGCGTATGCTGTACAGCACTAAACCTCGCATGCATCCACGGATATCCAGGTACTGAGGTACCGGACGTGTATGTACCTACCAGGTATTGAACTAGGAGGGCTTGTACGCTAAACCCTACCTGACCGCCCGTCCAAGGGTTCTCCCTTTTTTCTACTCCTTCATCTTCTTCACCCTCTTCACAAGTTCATCCTCATCCAACCAACTAACCCTCAACCGCATGCAAGTAACCTTAAGGGCCATCTTATAGACCGTTGCAGACTGCTTCGGTCGGTCTTCACAAGAACTTATTCATCTATTCCACATCCGGATTCCGGACTTACTTGTCACATCGTACAATACATGCCAACTGTTGAACAGAGAAGCCAACTCATCATTCTTGGCTTTTAGTAGTACCTACTGTTGTACAGTTGTCGGGTTACTCGATGACATTTTTACATCGTTTTCTTTATTGTATTGTTTAATAATATGGTCATTGCTATGTTAACCGAGAAACTCCAGGTAGACTAGAATCTCGTCGTGTTTCGTTTTAAACATCAATGTGCTACCTATGCGTACCTACTACGCGTACTACATAGGGAGGACATAGGTACCTAGGTAGGTAGAGGTCGCGCCGCCCGGAGCATTTTCGAGTAACCCAGCCCTGGAGGTCTCGTTTTTGAGGGTTTGCACTTCTGACCACTCACGATGCGCAAAACTGTTGTTCCTCTTGTCATGGCTGAAAAATTCAGGAACAACGCGCCCAATGCCACTCTGGGGTGCTACCCACCCACCAAATCACTATATCAGGCATATCTCTTGTCAAGTCAAGAGAAGAAACTAAACCCCCTAGCAGTTTCACCCTTAGCTTCCACAATTAATTTCCGTCCTGGTGGTGCATTATTATGCTTCCATTTATTTGGTTGCTGCATCTTCCTGGTCTCCCTAGTCTTCCTGACTAAATCTCTTTGTCAAATGTCGCTGACTACCCTTTCAGGGCTTCAAGGGCCTTGTAAGTCTCTTTGTCATCCACTTTTTAGGCAGTGCCACCATCTTCTTTAGATCCGTGTGGATCTGTTCGAGCTCATCGTGAAATCGAACCCCTGACTCCTTGACCCGGTGTCACCACACGACCGAGTGGTCTATTATGGGCTCTTAATATATATCTCCAAGGTGAGCCGCTTCGGAGCTTTCTCGTTGGTCTCTTTTTCCCTCCGTGCCCAACTATTGTGCCTTCACGCTCTTTTCTTCCGCTCTTGCTAGCCGAGTTTTTACCACACTCTTTTTTTCTTGCTTCCGTCTTGATAGCCAGCTAGCTGTCGGCTTATTTACTTCGTCTCTCTTTTGACTATATATCTGCCACCTCCCTGCAAGACAGGTTTCCTTCTACAACAGCCAGGATCGCTATCCCTTCGACTCTCATCTTAGCTCGGCCTCGTCTACCAGGAGATCTTCAGATCTATAGGACCCAGGCACCTACACTTCTATCGTTACGCACCTGATATCAACATAACTGTCACTCCCGAATACAGTTTTTTTCAAAATGCGATTCCAGCAAAGCTTACTTGCCTGCGTGGCCCCGGCTCTCGTCTCGGCCATCACTCCGCCGAGCATCCAGGGTATGAGCATCGTCTTCTCCGAGGACTTCGAGGGCTCCGCAGGTGCCTCGCCTAAGAGTAATGTGTGGAACATCATGGATGCCATCGACACCAATAACGAAGTCCAGACGTACACGACCTCGAACCAGAATGTCCAGATCAGTGGTGGCGGCACCGTTCAGTTCGTCCCGCGAAAATCCCCCTCTGGCCTATGGACCTCAGGTCGTATTGAGTCTAAAGGGTCCTGGACTCCCGCACCTGGAAAGGTCACCAAGATCCAGGCAAACATTCTATTAGGCGATAACCTCGCAATAAACAAACAAGGACTTTGGCCTGCCTTTTGGGCTCTCGGTGACGCCATGCGCCACGGTACCGAATGGCCTCGCGCCGGAGAAATAGATATTATGGAACAGGTCAATGGACTCCTCACCGGTTACGGTACCCTCCACTGTGGCACCTCCGTAGGCGGCCCTTGCAACGAGCCCGTTGGGCGTGCTAAGACCACCGCTATGCCCGCCAGTGGCTTCCATGTCTGGGGCGTCACAATCGACCGCACCAATGACGACTGGACAAAGCAGACCATCTCATGGACGTTGGATGGCAACACCTTCTCTACCGTTACTGGAGCTGATATAAATGATGCTCCTACCTGGTCCGCACTGGCTCACAGCCCTCTGTAAGTTATTCCCCGGGTCAATATATTCTTGTGCCATTTACTAATGATGTTTCATAGGTACGTGATCCTCAATGTTGCCGTTGGCGGTGACTGGCCGGGCGTTCCCAATCTGGTAAGTACCTACAATTTTCGTCCACATTTAACCATAGCGTCCATCGAGGCTAACCTCTACATGCATAGCTCACGCTAGACGGCTACGGCAGCATGATGGAAGTACAATGGGTTGCTATCTACTCGTCTTAGACGAGGTTCCTAGTAACGTGATATGATACACCAAAAATAGAATTGGGTGTATATATGGGGAATGGAATTTGGCGTTTACCAGAGACTGGGTTCGGAATTTTGGATGAGCCTCGAGATACCTATTTATGTTACGTGATTTTTGCTACATCTCTACCCTAAGAAGTAAGGCGCAACTTTTTAACGCCTCATCTGTTTTGGAAGACTATTTTCTGCAGATACCCCCCCTTTTTGCTTCTATTGAATGCAACGAATGGATCCGCGATCTAGTATATTGACTCGCTAGACGCGCTTTGCAATTCTACGAAATTCTTGGCTCTTTGATGTAGTATTGGTCGTATTTTGGTCTACTGGCTATCATGGATGTATCCAACACGATCTTTTCTTACCCGGACGGAATCTTAGCTATCAAAATTATAGCAAAGTACGCGAAAAGGTAGACGCTTATGAGCAAGTCTACCTACTTCGTACCTTGGTAGGGCATTGGAATCTTTGTCACAAGCATCACTCAAGCTTATACGGGCGTGTTCAGCTTTCATCGACTCACGTCGCGTCAAGGTAGTCAACATTTACACCTCAGTCAAACTATGTCTTATTAGATTAAAACGAACCAACAAAGTCAGATTTACGAAATACCTAGTCCGATTCTAGATGTTCTTATATCAGGTACCGGGCATAGCCGGATGGGCGTCCAGAATATTCGCACTTTGGTAACGCTACATCGTGTATCGGAACTAGGTGTCAAGCGATGTTAGATGAACCCTTGACGTAACGAAAGATACATGAAAGGGGGTAGTGACTCACATAAGGATTCTCGAAATCAGTACAATCCTGTTCTCCAAGTTGCTTACCCCTTTCTATTCTCTCCTCCTCGCTGATGCCTTGCTCGGCCAGCTGCTTTTCGCGTCGTCGGTTCCTCGTAACGAGTATAACCCGCCATGCAACAAGCAAGAAGAACTCTAGCCCAAAGCATACTGCACAGGCAGCGGTTCCGGGAATATACCTCGGCTTTACAGATTCTTGTTAGCTAGGAATTCGAAATTTAGGTGCCGGAGAATGAGTGCTAGATAAAGTGGAAGGAATTCCAGGTAGGCGGGGAATTGAAGAGACGTACAGCATCTTTGGCTTTGAAGATTTGAGAGCCGACCATATTGCCCACACAGTATCCAACAAAGGTGAAAGATGAGGTCAGCGTACGCTTGGTGCGGCCGGCGACGTTCGAGGGGATCAGAGTCCAAGCCAAGAAGAGCGCTACTACACAGGGGACAGTGATGAAAAAGCTAAACGTCACACCCAAGACATTCGTCAGCAGTATTCTGGGTCTCAATTGCATTTATCAAGAATGTAGGGTGTTTGGTAAGATGGACCTACCCTGTCCATTTAGTCCACTTATACTGAGGCTCGTTTGGCAGCGATGCCATGATGGCGAATCCAGCTACTGGTGGGATAACAGATACCATCATGAAATACCTAGAACTTCGGGTTAGACAACTCTCGATTCTTCGAAATAGAAACCCTCGAGTCTTAACTTACAGGCGCAGATTCTTCTTCCTGCTTGTAATAATGCCGATACAGACGAACCACAGCACAGACGTGATATTCTTTGGAATGTCGAGGAGAATAACTTGCAAGTTGGCTGATAAATTATTAGTTATTATTACGCTTCACGTAGTGGACGTTGAAGTCTGCCGTCAACTCACTGAACCCTGCATTGGTATTTATGATCGAGCCGAAAGCGGTTATGCCACCATTAGGCACAGAATTCAGAAACGCATTGAGACCAGCGAACCAGAACTACCAATCGCGATATCGGCTGCTGCGTTAGTTACGACGCTGAATCGATATTTTTCTTTGATCATGGATACTCACGCATGGGTCGATCAGGCATTCTCGGGCCTGTTTCCATTTCCATTTCTTGATACCAGTCTTGTCATGGCCCGTGTTATTCGACAAGATGCGTGCGTTCGCGATCTTCTTCTCCTCGGGAGACAACCACCGTACTTCGGATGGCGTACCTAGTAGGAAAAGGCATAGACAGCCGACGAGAATGGTCATACTTCCAAGAAACTATTCCAAGATAATGGCCATCAAAATGTCAGCACAATTCCAGATTAGTCGTAAGGGAGGGCAGGCTTAGCATACATAAGACATGTATCTCCAGGCCTGGAACTCGGATCCACGCTTGTACTGAACCGAGCCGATCCCGTAGAGGATGAGGTTGGCGATGACACCAAAGCCGGCGTTGGCGCTCTGGAAGACCAGTGATCGCGACGCATGCTCGCGCGTAGTGTACCAGCTCCCGACGACGAGGATGAATCCGGGCGAGATGCAGCATTCGAAGAAGCCCTGCAAGGCCCGCAGCGTGACGAGCTGTGTGAAGTTCTGGGCGAACCCGACGCATAGTACTACTACGCCCCAGCAGAGCATGTAACACGACAAGGTTCTCCCCATGAGGTACCGCTGCAGAATGATGTTTGAGGGAAACTCGAAACACATGTACGTGATGTAAAATACGGTCGTGAGCCACGAGTACTGCTGTCCGTGCAAGCCGGTATCCTTCGAGAGACCGAAGGTGGCTTGTGTTCCGATAGACGTCTTGTCCGTCTGCTGGATGCCGTAGCAGAGCCACATGAGAGGAAGAAGGTACCTATCGGCTTTCCTCTTCAGTTTACGGTATTCCTCTTCGCTGTAACTTGGAACTGTCTTCTAGTAAGCTCGCAACTCCTGGTAGCCTTATCATCGAGCTATGAATGAAGTGAAGTCTAACCTGCGTCATCCTGAATCTCGCCGGCCGCAACGCTACTCTTCTCACTGATCTCTGCGTCCATTACCATCGCCGGGTCCTTCTCTACGTCTTTCTCTTTCTCTTTCTCCGAGTCGGTAGGGATTTCCAAAGGTCCCTTAGCCTCCATCGGGAGCGTCGCGATCTCTAACGCCTGAGTCATTGTTCGCGAGTTACGACCTAGCAACGGACCCTCGATGAATTATTATTATTTTTTCGAGACAACTACAGGATAAGATCTTCGAACGCACAGGATACAAGATACAAGGGATGATTCCTGATTATATGTATGGCCGAGCTCTGGAAGCTACATATTCCCACCCTAATCACCCCGCAGGATAGATCATTGTCACGGTAAGACGTGAGGAGATAGGGCAGATAAGCCTACCTACCTGGGAACTAGGTAGATACCCGCGGGAGATGGCACAGGTGGGTGGCGTCTAGGGCTTGCTCTCATCCCGGAAAGGCATCCACGCATATCTCCAAATAGACCGAGTGGCGGTTGGGGTTTTTTAATGGGGGTTCGGGTTCTGATGAACGATGTCTCACTCCTCTTCTACCGGTATGTAATACCCCGGATATAAAACGAACTTCTGGTCTTAACCATCCAAGACAAGGCTTTCGACATTACCAAATTGCCATTGCCATTCTCTTTCTTTTCTCTTTCGTAATATCGCGTGTCGATATTCCACGTGGCGACAGATCAACACCCCTATGTATGTAGGTATTGATGGATGTACCTATATCGTGCTTGGGGTGGGGTCTGGGGAAGATCATCATAATACTACCTTGTGTAGTAGCAGGTATGTGTATGTACGAACACTCGGACGCTGGAACATTACAACATCACATACATACTAGGTACCTAGTATATGTATCTGATGTATCTTGCATCACACCTAATATTCCTTATCAAAGCTGGGTCTACATAATTCGGTAAGCAAGTTCGGCCTGGCTATCTGTGTCTAATCTATTTCGGAGAAAACCGATGCTTGTTTCAAAGCCAAGAGATTCATTCGAATACGGGAGCCTTATAATAATTATATTCTTCAATATCTAGGTAGGTATCTATGTCTGGGTTTTCGGATTGTGAATTCCGTAGTGTTAAGAATTTAAGATTGTATGCAACTATAAGGCTTTAATCGAGCTATCGATCATTTATCCACCTGCCTAATATGAACATATGCTTATCTCGAGGTTACGAACACATGTATGCATTTCCTTGTTTTATCCTCACCAAACACTATCTAGCAGTAGGTATCTTACATAACACATCTTAACTACCTAGCATATCTTCATGGATGTGATATCAATTATCTTGAACCTCTCTGGAGAAGTTACGCGCGTCGAGCGGCTTCCACATCCCGAAAAAGAAACAGATCTGATCATTGTAAAGCGTATAAAAAACTATGCATTATTATGCTTCATTCGAAGATAATGTAATATGCATACCTACCTAGTACCTTAAGTAGGTACCTAGGCACTCATAAGACTACCCCTTTCCCAATCCCGCATGTTATTTAAACAATCAATTCCGCATGAACGCTCAATATCTACACTAGGTGGCCGGTACCTAAAATAATTTTAATTGATGAACGGATTATTCAAATAATACGGAGATGAGTAAGCTCAGGATGGCAGAGGTCACGATCATGTCTAGTAGAGAATATCGTACTTGAACCCATTCTTCTGCCTTCTCGGATGTCTCATAATATATATACCTACGTATATCTAGCAGCCTAGGTAATCAGCACCCGTTCGTTAACGATTACTAACACATCTGAGATGGTGTGACTAAGCAGAGCCTGCAGCGGGACCATGTCTACTGACTCACTGTGGCGTTTCCGTTTCTCGAGCCGCCGTCTAGGTCCGATTCTCGAAGTCAAGGCTGGTATCGTAGTGCGGCGCCGGGAACAGTCGGGGCTCAGACATGCAGAGAGAGGCGGCACGAGTGGAAATTGCTTTGAGTAATCTCTTCGGAGTACAACGGTCTGTAGGTAACTATATCACTTACATAAGAGGCTTGGATATGTTTCTGGCTAACCAATGAGACGTGCAAGATACTGATATCGGCTAGGTAATTGCATAAGTACATACCTGCTAGGTAGGTAAGCCACCGTAAGCACCGGTGACTGCATTCAAATATTTTTGAGGGCTGAGAAAGCCACAAGGAGGAACCTTGGAAATGAGGTTATGTAAGGTTGCTGAAGTTGACCTGTGCAGGCGCCAGCCAGGTAGCTAGTTTGTGTGGTAATAGTAGGAGACACCGTGGACCTGTATGAAGTTATGTAAGAAAGCCTAGAGGTTTCCTTTCATGAAAGTTCAAGATTAGGTATAAAAGAAAGTCTTTGTCGCAGGGCATTTGCATTCTAACAAAGCTCTTCACACGATATTTAAAGTCGCGAAACCGATCCTTCCTATGAATTTCCTTCCGAAATATTCGAACAGAAGATACATTCGGCATAACACATAACAGGTACCTAGTAACTATCTAAATTTGATAAATTTAAGACAACACAAAATGAATACAGGAATTAACGCAGTTAGACTTTCCAACGTTAAGTCCCAATGGACATCAGCCCAGGATGGTGGTCGGATTGATTGGGGAAGCTGTATGGTGATGTGAGAATATTAGGTTAGCAGGATAAAAGGGGTTGGGTTAATTGCTTGAAAATCAGATAGTTGATTATCTTATTAAGGAACGCAACATGGAAATCTCCATTTCCCCCCTCTCTAATAAATCTTGCTTCAGTTTTTATCAATGATTACCTACCTACCTACAAACGTAGTACTGACGGGTTTACGTAAGAAACTAAAAGTACCCTCGATACATGAACTACTATATCGTCACTTTATAAATGATACTAGGAGAGAAATACCCATATCTTCTCACTTGAGCGTAGTGGTGGTCATATATATATATCATACATATGAATCTTACGAGAGGCCGAGATCATTTCGACGATGGGCCTCCCCCTGTGTCGCTCTCCTCTCGTGACATATTTTCTCTTGGCATATTTAATGATGGAAGACCTCTTTCAGCATCAAAACTTGCTGAAGGCGCCCGTTCTCTACTTTGAGATCGTCTTTCCTGATATTCCAACCTTTGGACCAACCTATCCATCCCGTCTCTCTTGGTCCCCTAATTATACCCACAATTATAGCCACGCCGATGAAGGCGATATTGGAACTTCCACTCCAGACCCAGCCGCCTTGAGCATATAGCCGATTTCCCAGAGCCGTCCCCATGATCTGGCCCCCGAAGGCGAAAACCATATACACCGTATTTATTCTATTCCTAGCCTTCGAATCCAGATTGTAGATATTACTCCGATTGGCAGTATGCGCAAAGTTGGCCCCAGAATCCATCATGATGGCGTGGATTATAGGTCCCGCCACCGTGAAGCTTCCAATAAATGTAGAGATCACGATGCCCACGAATTCGAAGGCGAGGCCAAGAACAACCGAGAAGAGGAAGACATATCGATCAGTAATGAGGCGAGACCATACTGGCGCAAGTGCAACGACCACAATCCCAATGAAGGCGAAACATCCAATTTCAAGCGAGGAATATTCATATGGCGGAGACGCGAGGAGGAACGTGAGAGTAGTCCAGAAAGAAGTAAACGCAGCGCTGAGTAGAAACCCCATGATACATGCTTGGGTGAGCAGGGGCTCTGTAACAGCCATGACCACCATTCCCCAGAGAACCTTGAAATAGTTGAGGCCCTTGTTCTTTGTGGGATAATCCGGGAGGAAGAGGAAGAGCAGCGCCAGTGTTAAATATTGGGCTCCGAATGCTAACCAGTAGATGTTTCTCCAAGATGTAAAATTAGCCACTATGCCTGACAATACCCTAGCAATTAGGAGGCCAAGTGCTAGCCCTGATACGACGACCGAGAGCGAACTAGCACGGCGATGAGCCGGTGCTAAGTCGCCGACGAGCGGCAACATAAGCTGCGGTGTTACCGTCCTACCTTCTCGTTAGACCGAGGAAGCGAAACGGAAATACTTTGATATAACTTGATGAAGGTAGCAACAGCAGATACATACCCAACTCCACAGAGAAATGACAAGCTGATGAACACTTCGAAATTGTTCGTGAGGCACAAGCCAATCCACTATTTGATATCAGCTTCGTATGAGAAAATCGAACTGTCAACCACATACAGCAGTTGCCGTTGCCCATATGAGGGATAAGATGAACGGTCGCCGAGGTACCATATCTGCCAACGGACATAGGAAGAGTAGGCCAACAGCATAGCCTGCCTGGGATAATGTGGCAATGTCGGATGCCCGCTCATAACTGACGTGGAACTCCTCGGCTAAGACGTTCAGAATAGGTTGAGCATAGTAAAGGTTTGCAACAGTAAATGTTCCACTCTGTCACAGATTAGCTCGGAGATAATGGAGGAAGTAAGGTACCTAGTTAAGATCATACGAATGCTAGGAGAAGATTCATTGATAGGGTAAAACTAGGCGGGTTCTCCGGATCGTAACGACAGCGTTCTGGCATCCAATTCAATGCCCTCGTTATCCTGACCAGCCAATTAGTCCCCTTAGAGCCCTTCGTGGTGATGACAGACGAATTCTGATTTTCATTTTGCTCATCCGTCTCGACATTCTCGTTGGTTGTCGTAGAAATGACTGCCGTTTCTAGTCTATTGGCTGGTTTCTCGGATTGGTCTTCTTTCTCTTTATTCGCAGCCATACCTAGGCAATCACCATCTAGCCCGTCACCCAGATCTCTCTGATCAGAACGGCTATTGTAAGTATTCGACTGGGGAAATCCGACTTCGTTTTCTTATGTCCGATGATTAAGGTTGGCGTGTGGTCTAATTTTGCTGGTACAAAGGTAAAAATCCTGTCTATCTCACTCTTATTCGTAGTCTCTAGGACAAAGAGAACCGTCCTATATTATAGAGGAACATCAAAGTAAGTAACTAGGGATGCATCACACATCCGGAGCTACTCCTATATATTTTCGCCGGTTGCCGGATGGTCGCTGCGACCTTCGGCTGTTGTGAATTTAGCTACAGCCGAAATATGGATAGGTACATTGCATGTCGGCCGTGTCACTTGCTATACGGCTTACTTTATGCAGGCATCCCAGGCATCCCGTGTCCGTTTTTCAGTATATTATGCATATTCATGGTTCAATGTCATCATTGCAAATATTCCGTTAGGTGAATTCCGCTCCTAATATCACATTGTTAATATCAATCAGACTTGCAGTAGATTATATGGTAACTTTAACTTACTAGCATTGCAGATATCTCAACTCTTTGCGCCCCTTATTCATACCACTTTGGTCGTTATAACGTGGGTTAGGGTTCAGGTTAGACTTATGGGAGATGCAATGGGAGATGCAATGGGAAATATGGTTCTACATATAGTTTCAATTAAGTCGATCGAAGAAGCAACCTTAAAACACATCGAGCAAAGAAACATCATTGTTACACAAGTGGCTTTAAACTACCTAGGTACTCTTGACTAAGGAACCCCGAAACCCGGTACATAAAACCCCTTACGGTCTACTATGGACCGAACTCCGATACTGTACTCCAACAAATCAGCCGGCTCACACATATCAGATAGCAAACAGAAGGCTTATGCTCATACCTAGGAAGGTATGAACAATAAAAATCACATAGATACTACCTAGGTAAGCAATGAGAAAAAACTGATGGAACCTACGAGATTGTGAGCTAAAGTCTCTCGAAGCAATCCACTCAGGTACTTACTAGGTACCTAAGTAATTGTCCTAACCTTTCATTAAAGAAGGAAAGCTGAGATGTCGCGATATGGTGTTTTCTACTAAAGGGGTTAGCTTCAATATTTCTCCGTATTTTAGATTGGATATTTCCGATTATTATCTTATTATCTCTTATCATTTGGGCATTTCTTACATAGTACATGTACATAGTTGAATAAGGGCAGGCAATCCCCACATATCAAATAATCGGAAGACTGCCGATGCCATAATTGAGAGAGGGGCAACGATCGGACAAGTTTCGGCGGCTCGAGTTTAGAAGGTCCTACCAGCTTTCTTTTCTGGGAGCAGTTGTCATTGGACAAGGAAATCCATGTTACATATATGGATATACATATGGATGTAAGTCTACTTGCAATACCCTTGTAAGTGCCACTGCTACAATGTAGGTAGGTAACTGCAGCTGCTGTAAAGTACCTACATGTAGGTAACCTAGAAACATTTTCGGACTTTCATGTTCATCGCAACCCATTCATCTTTCAATGTTTTTTTCTAGAAAAGAAAAGGTTCCCACGTTTTCAACTAGAATCGTTGAATCCGTCAATCCCTAGGTACCTACTAGGTAGGTAGTTATACCGTCATGGCAGCCGATGAGACAAGTCCGTTACTCCAAAATGGAACTACTACTCCCAAGACAACTAAGGTCACAAAGACCGTCAGCGCCTCCATATTCGGTCCCGCCAACCGTATCCTTCTCGCCGGCTTCTTGATGGCCTTCACTCTTGGCATCACCCAAGTCCCGGTAAGTGTCGGATATCCAATTGATTCCCCGTTGCGTTTACTAACTGGGAAAATCAAGATTATTTATGTCTTCCGTCTTATGGAATGCGATATTTTTTATCGCCGTAGCCCTCCATTCGAGGGTCCGGGGGATCGTTGTCACAATCGTCAGATCACCGCAGGAACAGCTCAGCAGGTTTCTATTCTAGGCATGTCAACTTCCTTCAGCGGAGTTTTCAACCTCTTCATATGTGGTTATTTTATAAAGATATGGGGGCCACGTTGGGCCTTCGTTTCGCAAACTGCATTATTAGGCTTGAGAGTATCAACACAAGTTCTTGGTGTGACAATTGGTGGTCGGTCCGGTGAAATCATCTTTCAGGCCTGCCAAGCTATTGGCATAATAGGGGGTCCACGCGGCTATCAGTACGTTACTTACCTACCAACCTTAACTCAAACATCATGTCTATGTCGTTCATACTGATTGAGTTGATAAAGGTTAGTTCTGAATACTGCCGTCAGTGAACTGGTCGCGCCTAAGGATCGTACGGCAGTCTTTGGACGTTTACAGGGATCAATCATGTTGGGAACTGCATTTGGATTCCTCCGTACGTCTCTTTTGTCATTAATATCTAGCATTCAGCTAACGGCATCACAGTTGGTGGTGTTCTTGGCGATGTCTACAACATCAGACGTCCTTTTGAGACGGCATTCTTCCTATATGTCGGTTGCACGCTATATGGCGCTCTTTTCTTGCCGAACGGTAAAGTCCATAATCAAAAACAAAATGGTCGGGGTATCAGCGCTTTCTTTGCCCCTATGAAAATCATTGTTCCTCACAAATACCGCCTAGAGTCTGGCAAGATCATTCAAAATTACAGCTTGATCTTCCTTGCGCTAGGGATATTCCTCGGTGTGGTAAGTTATAGTCTACTACAGCTCTGTTCCACATCTTTTGTCGAATTACCTTCTCATTTTAATCCAGTTCGCTTCGGGATACGCCCCCATTCTCTTACAGATGTACGGAACATCCGAATTTAATTTCGGCACTACGGAGAACGGTTATCTTATGTTCGGGAACTCGGCCATTCGTGGTATCTTTTTACTACTCATGTTTCCCAAAATTATATCCTCCGGTAGAATCTGGTTTAATGGCACGCCGGCGCATACGGAACGCAGGGGGTCAGAACCAGAGTTCCACATCCCTGTTAACCCAGAAGACTTTGAGGCCGTTGAGGGCGGAGAAGTTCCACAAGAACCGGTTCAAGTACCTGATCCAGATGACGAAGATTCTGGAACTGGGTTTGATCTTTTCTTCGTCAGATGGAGTCTTGTGGTTGACTCTTTGGTTACGTTCTTTGCTGGATTCTCTACGGATGGATGGCAGGTATATTTAGGTAAGAGACGCGAAAAAAATAGGTTTTCCGACCGTTATTAATTGAAACTGCTAGCCGGCTTCCTATTGCCATTTGCATCCGGGTCGGCGCCAGCTGCGAAAGGAGTCATGACCGAAATGTGTCCACCGGACAAACGACAGGATGCAATTAGTGCTATTACTCTTGTAGAGAGTACTGCTAGTTTGTTAACCCAGGGACTCTTCGGCATGATCTTTGCCGCCTTCACAGAAGCCGGCACGCCAAGCCTAACATTTTTCTGCAACGCGGTATGTCGTGCACTCCGCTGATAGGGTTCGACATATACTAACATTGTATTAGGGATTTGCTGTGTTTGGCTTCATTGTTTTGTTCTTGGCATATCTACCACCACCCAACAGCAAGAGGGTTGATGACGATGATTCGGAAACCGAAGTTGAGACCTAAAATGATCGTCTAGGTAGGTACGTAAAGAGCCTATCAAAATCCATAAAAAGCACTTAGAAGCTAGGTGGCGTAAAATAAACGGGAAAACATGCATATCGGCGCAGAGAAAAATTGTTATCAGCCATACCATCATAATTCATGATTCCATCTAAAAAGACATAGATAGGTACAGTTTGATAGGGTAACTAATAGACGAAAATTGCAGACTTGTAAGGTTAATATAATCTTAAGTTAGGGCCCCTTTTCATATGGTGATACTAACCCAGCCACCCTTTCTTGTAGGTTCCTTCGCTACAAGCTTGTTGTGACATAGCCTTAAGGCGTATGGTATTATGTATAACAAACTTGCCTCCTCCTTTATCAAAAATTCCCATATCTACCTAGACATATACAACGTCAGTCGTTAGCCACACATAGGAATACATTCTGCCCAGTCAAGCTTCCTGCAGAGTATCAACCCTATTTTGACAAGCATCGTACAGACTTCATTAAAAGTGCCCGTATCTCTTCATCTGGTTCAAGGATTCGAAGCCCGCTCGTCACCTGACCTCAACCACAATACCCGCCATCGACTGGAAACGCCGTCCGCGTGACGAACTTACTCTCGTCGCACAGCAGATATCCAACCATGGAAGCGACCTCGTCCGGCGTCACGTACCGCTTGAACAACTGCGGAAAGTCCTCGACACGAACGTCACCAGTCTGGTCGCGCAACTGCTGCCACATTGGTGTATCTGCGATGGCCCTGGAGTGAGGTTAGCCAGGTCCATCTGCTAAGCTTCGCTAGAAGTTTTAGAAGTACGGTGTCCCAGTCCCGAAATTCGATATTGAAGGCCAGGTATGACAAGGGGCGTGGTACTCACGGACACACGACGTTCACCCGCACGCCGCGATGAGCGTGCTGGGCAGCGGCCACTTTGGTCAAGCCCACAACGCCGTGCTTGGACGCCGCGTAAGCCGCGTAGAAGCCCGTGCCGCGCAGGCCGGCGACGCTCGACATGTTGACGATGCTGCCGTCGTCAGATATGGCACGTAGTTGGTACTTGAGACAGGTGAACAACCCCGTCAGATTCACGTCGATGACGCTTGTCCACTCCTCAAAGCTGAGGTCTGTTATCGGGCTTGGGTCTTTGCCTATGATGCCTATTATCCCTCGTTAGAACTATGAAATAAAGTAGGTAAGCAAAGGGGTAGGGTACTATGAACGGCTTACCGGCATTGTTGACACAGGCGTTGATCCGCCCGAACTTCTCCTTCGTCGCGGCGACCCACTCCTCCACGCTCTTCGGATCCGTGATGTTCACGGCCCACGTCAGGATTTGGACGTCGGGATATGACGCTCTGATGCGCTCCGCCGTCTCATCGAGCTTGCTCTTCTGTAGATCTGCTAGGGAGAGGATTGCGCCTCGCGCGGCGACGTACTTGGAGATTACCTCGCCAAGACCCTGGGCCGCTCCTGTTACTAGGACGACCTTATCCTTCAAGGGTTTTGGGTCCGCCATTCCTCTGAGTAAAAGAAGGTATACGCAGGGAATAAATTAAACAGCCTATCTAGGTGGAAAGAGAAAGAGGGCTGATGGCATAACCATGCGCGTGGGAACGCCTTATATGTGGATGACGATACCCACCTCCAGGTTTTGCATAGACTCCAGCCGTTAGGGTATTGCACGGTCCCCTCCCCGCCTAGGTATGTACTACCTTTCCTACGATAGTATGTCACCTTGTTAACATTAGCCGTCGCCCTGGCGTGTTTATTAGCAATCGCAATGGCCCTGCTCTCGCTGTCACATCAGTGGCGCGTGGCGAGCATGCTCCTTAGAGGCGGACGTAAGGGCATATAGCTCATGCATCTTTGTACATTACATACACCTCTCTAGGTATCAGGGGCAGGGATAGATCAGACCAGACGTCAAGCTCGAACCCTGTGAGCCGATGCACAAAGCACGTGTCATTTGACAGGCATCGCAAGAATGCGGGAGCGGTCAGTCTATCGGAACAGCTGGATGTGTTTGCTCAGGGGCGGATCTTCATTGAACTGTTACAGATCCTGGAGAAAGGAATCAGAAATGAAAGGTGGACCCTTGGTAAGAAAGAGTCTGACAGCTGAGAGATGCGGCTCTGATCCGGAAACGTAATAATAGGGTGGAAACACAAATGCGAATCACCCTGTCACCCTATGCGGCGGTGCTGATCGCTTCATATCGTAGCTGTGTAGGTAGGTAGGTAGGCAGGTAGGTACCCCTTACCCGAGAACCCGTCACTATTATATGCGGGCTCGGGCCGGGAAGCTACATAGGTAGTTAGCTGATATGCAAAGACTTTTGGTCGAAGCTGTACCTATGCAATAGTTGAATCCTCTTGCGTATATGTAAGGTCACATATCGCTACAGCGTTCTAGCGGTGAAGCGTCCGAGCGCCCAGCACGCCTAGCCAATTAGGGCTGACCATGGTTGATGTTGCTGTACAGGGTAACAGGGTAGCAGGGTGGTAGGGTAGTAAGGTAGTAGGGTAACGGCATCTGGTGATAATGAATATTAAAAGTAGGAAAAATTGTTGGAAGTTTAGATAGGCGCATTAAACCCCTTTATTACCAACCCATCTCCGTCGACGATTTCACCCCTCCGGCCCGAACCCTCGGGAGTAGAGGATAAGATAATGAGGTTTAATTCTCTCGTAATTATTACGGTTTCATTGTAGCAGCATTCTGAGATAATGTTCTACATAGTGGGAGGATGGTATCCTTGGTCGAGATTCTTTATAGGGGAGATGATACCTACCTAGTATTTATTCTGAGTAGACTTCCAAACTATAGGCCCAGTAGTTACTGGGCTCAGACCCCACAACCCTTTAAGAAGAGGATGATTAAATGATAGAAGAGTAAAACTCGTTGTCTTGCACCTTTTCAAAGCTAGTCTTAGAACGAATATCCAAATCGCCGTCTCCTTAAATTTGATAGTTAGCCACATTTCCCAATATAGTAGGGGAAATGGGAGTTGGGGTTTGGCTTCTCTCTCTCTTTTAGTAAGTCACCCCCCCTATATTGCCTCCTTTTCCAGCACCGTCACCGATTAACTATCAGACTAAGACTTCGGCGCCTTTTTCTAAACGTAGGATTAGGGTGCTCCCTGTAAAGATTTCTGGACAGTATGAGTTTCGGATATATTAATTTCTTGATCGAGTTTTGTTTGAATAGCTAGTATTCGAAGTATATGATCCATCTCGGCTTATCGATGTAGACGAGGGATATGCCCCAGAACAAATGGTTTTATGACAACATTTGGGATATATCGCATCGAGGTCGATTCTTTGAAAAATAATGTATCTTGAATGGACGAGGTCTTTGATCCCTCTCTTCCCCCTAAAATTCGATGTGAGTCTTAGAAAGTCGGCGACATGATCTTTCTTCATATATTGATTGTATAGAACATCTCTCATGAGAATCAAGTACTAGGTACCTAGGTAAGTACCCACATCACAAAATGATTATAGATATAATCGTCAACACGTAATAAGAGTATGGGGATTTATTCGTCGTATAATACGTCAAGAGGTTGTTGTTCCTCCAGATCTGCCTTCATAACGTCCCACCGATAACCGATTCGATGCAATTCGGCGCAATTCATATTCATGTATCCCATTAATCAATCCACCACTTTATGGTTCATTGGCACTACCATCCTCATATCGTACATCCTTCGTAATGCAGCGTTTTGTCATATTCTTAGTCGGGCGATTATCTCATACTCTAATTAGGAGGTTAATAATCTGCGGAAGCGTCTGTTGAGGGTACGTTATTTTCTCACGGTGGAAGAAGGTACTCGCTCCAAGGGCTAGCTAGAAAAGCCACGGCAGCCTATATACATAGAGATATATAATTTAGTAAATGATGTCGATATCCATATCAATAATGGGGCGATCGTGTAGAAAGACGTACACCAAAGATTGCTACGCTCCGTACGACAGAAGCATTTTCGGGAGATGTGATAGTCTCATAGGTGGAGCTAATGAATCCCCTGTTGGAACGTCCTCCACCGACTCTCTTTGGCGGCATAATTGCAAGATTTTGAAGTGTTCGAAGGTTGTCCGAGAGTTGGGAGTTGTTCTTAAGTTTTGTGTCGGCGTTATCTGTATTATCGACTATCGGAACAAAAAAAAAAGATTTGGAGAGGATCCAAGAATTAAAGCTGAATAAGATCCGGAAGCTCGAGCCATTGAGAGTGGAAAGATTGTGGGACCGTCTGCATGTGCCCATGTTCATATGTGGGGCAATTTATGGCTCTGTGGCGTGCACAGTTGACAGGTCAATGGCGTCACAAGGCTGAGCTGAAGGCAATTACCTAATGTGCTAATGGCTAGGTAAGTATGTACTAGGCTAGGTAGGTATATGTGGTAGGTGCCTCGGGAAGTTGACAATACGTAATCCCTCCTTCTCCCTCCTTCTACTTTCTACCTTCTACCTTCTTACATCATTTCTCTTTTATTATACGAAAAACAATACACGTCCCCATGCACATCCATTTCAATTCCAAATCTACAGTTTTGATCAATTCAACACTCGAAAATGGTTGAGACACCAAGATTCGCCAATGCAGGCGGGTTCTTCCCTGACGGATTTACCTCGTTACCCTCGCCAGCTCCTAGTACTGCTTCGAGTCGAGCGGCTGCTCGTCTACCACATCCACGATCAAAGCCTCTTGCACGAGGCTCTAAGAAGGAAGATTATGCCAGGAATTACGTCTCCGATCGACTGATGCACATTTCGCGCCGATATGTGAAGAAGCATGGCATCCCCGACCCTGCCGACGAGGTCACCGGCTACGACAGCATGGACGAAGTATGCAAAGATCTCGAGGACGTTGTCGACGTCCTCTGGTTCTCGGGGACTCGTACGTTAGACCCCATGCGATAATACTAAGAAACATAAATTATTTAAGACAAGAAGAGAAAATGACTAATTGCCTGGTTCCCTAGCCAGCCTTCAGATACCATATCTCCTAAACGTCGCGCTCGCATTTAATACTTACCTGCCATCTTTCCCACCATCGTCGCGCCCCACGTTCGCCTTACTCAAGAAGCTAGATCATTGTTTCGCAAGCCTCATCATCGGGCGCGACCTTAAGTCGGGAGATCCACTTCCGGGATTCCAAGGTCACGGGAGAGGGTTCACCAGAACAGACATGGTGCGCTGCAAGAGTTTGACCGACGAAACTCGCATGCTGGTCTCCATGATTATGAGTAACGAGCCGGACGTAAAGAATTTCGTAGGCGACGACGATGACGACGACAATGATAAAATTGCTCCATCACCTATTAGACGTAATATTAGCGTCTCTCTTTCTACCGGATTCATACAGACTCCTATTCGAGATAGGGATTCCATCGACGGCGATGACAGGATCAAGTCTGAGGATGTTATAAATTTTGATGACGAATCAGATATCGGTGACGAGGAACCGGACCATGCTGCGGCTAAACGAAAATTTAAGGATATCAGTCTAAACGAGGAGACCCCTGATGATCATAAACGGATCAGAGTCAAAGACGAGGAGGGTCTGGATGTTCAACTCGACGATGCGGCGCCAGGAAACCGGAGTCCAATCCCGGAAGTTGGCGGACTTTCACTAAGGCGTCCTGGAGAAAAGTTCCATTTCATATTAGACGATGACGACGATGACGATTCCGGTGATGAAAAGTTCCAAAATACAAATAGCATCCTCCCCGATGCTGCCGCTACTTCCGCCGCCGCCGCGTCAGTCCCATCGACGGCGCAAATAGACCCCAACACTGAAGGAGTAGGTGAGTGGGATGGGATGATCGATGAGGAGGGGGAAGATGAAGAGTTGCATTTAAACGTAGGGAAGGTATACGAAAAGACGCTGGTACAACTTGGTAAATCATTAGGCGAATCTATAACAGACGGATAACGTCCAATATTTATCCACAAGCAGCTCCTTGCCTACGAATACACTATA